ACTGTGTTAAACTGCTGAGCAAGTATATGGTTATTTTTTATTGCACAGGCCTCTTGGGATGAACCTACTCAGACAGTTGTAATGCACCGAGGAGCAGAACCTTCCCTTCTCCAGAACCTTGCCCTACAGTTGGCAGATAAGGTAATCTTTTTTGGTTAAGTAGCTTGTGTTCCACTCAAACCCAATGAAATAGTTTTTATTGATCTACATTCAACAACTGTTGATTCAAAAAATACCGGATCCAGTAGCAGTGCTGGGTATTTGTTCTGAGAGAGTGTTCAGTCAATCAAGGCGAAGAACTCTACGTGTATGGTGCGTCATGCAATATATTTACCTCCATATACGATGTGGCATTGTTAAACTGTCAAAGTGGTGATATGGACAGCAGTACATTGTGAAGACCTGGCTACATTTCAACCACTATAGTTGTGATTATCTCTCTCCTATTAAAATCTATATTTCATTGTTTAAATGTATCTTGTTCACAAATTATCTTTCATATTTCATGGGTATGTTGCAAACTCAGATAATGACCAGCTCCTAGCTGGCTTGGAAGCTCAGGTGCTTAGAGGCTGTGTCGTTTGCATTTCAGGTCAGCAATTTGGTGGAGAATAACGAACGTATTTACGACACAAGGCATGGAGGATTTGTTCAGTTCAAGGATAGGCAAGGTAAGACCTGATTATTTGTCTTCATTGGGTACACATCTTTTCTATGCCTATTGTTCGTTAGAGGCGTCTTTTGCACAAACACTTCTCAGTTCATGATGAATTACTGCTACAATTTTGTCTCGTGTAACAAAAATAATAATAAGGTATTAACCTTGTACAGTAGCTTGTTCCACAGGTTAAGCCATTTCCTATGGTACTGACAAAGAGAGTTTCTTTGACAATCAAGAGGCTCTTTAATTTGCTTGCATTTCCTTTGTTCTCATAACCTTATATATAATAAAGGGTTGAGGAAAGATAAATTAGATGCTTGCATTTCCTTTGTTCTCATAACCTTATATATAATAAAGGGTTGAGGAAAGATAAATTAGATGCTAGTCACTCCTAGTGTGAATGGATCGACATGATAGAAGGGTGGAACTCATCGGGAATTTTCGACTGATTAGAGATTTGTTACAGCACTTCTGGAAATTCTTCCATTCGACTTTTTTATCCCTGCCTAAAAAATCTTGTTTGGGTCATTTCAGGTCAAGGACGCTATCGTAGACAGAATCAGCAACATTATGATCGTCAAGACAGGTCTGATAAACAAGACAGACAGGATCGGCACAATTGGCAAGAAAGACATGGGCGACAGTATGACCGGGATAGATCTTACCAGCAGCAACAGGCACAAACAACTTACTGATACTTCAATTATCTGCATCATTTTACCAAATATGGCATTGGCAATTGTTTTGTCTTGTCTGTAGTTCAAGGAGGTATTTTAAATCTTGATAAAAGATGTGAGAAGGAACACTTAAGAACTCGGTACTAATGTGAAATTATGTAGGCTACACAACGATTTGATTGGTGTAACCGCTGGAAGCAAACGTTAAGAAAACGTGTCAGGAAACCTCATAGAAGTGATTAAAAATTAAAGTATGAGAGAGAGTGCAAGTTTTGTTTTGTGAAGTTATGTATCTACACCTCAAATTGAATTACGTCTTGAATCCCATCGATTGGCAATGAAAAATCGTGATAAATCTAAGCCTCAAGATTCCCCTATATCTTTATTCTATATACATGCCAAAACCCTATTACACATGTTTCCTGAGCAACACATTACAAAGACATGCTCATTTCTTGAGTAGAGACGATGTAGTCTTTTACAAAGCGTTTCGTCGGCGCATTGTGCCACATGGAGCATTGCTGCTAGTGTGTTATTAAATTCCGCCGTGTAATCGCGAAAACTAATTCGGCTGCAGAAGTCTTGTATATAGCTGCACACCTGGGTGATACAGTCGTAACCTCCATAACCAAAACAAAGAGCACACTTCGAACCTGTCAAGAGAAAAGAATAAATATGTGAAAAGACCTCATCTAACTTTCCTCAACCCCAAAATGTTACGTAAAAGTATGTACGCATTGCGGCCCAAGAAGAAGCCGTGTACGTTGAAAGTCGATAGCAGCTCTGAAAATTTTATACGGCTACAATTAACTTACCACCCTCCCTCCATCCCCCCCCCCCCCTTCCCACATCTTGTGGGAGAAATTAGATGCCATTCACTACTATGGGTCAAGGGGTTAAAATAATATTTTTCTTGTTTATGTGACGTTCATAACGGTACTGGTTGTGGAGGTTATCTCCTTGAAAGATTTAAACACACTGCGTGATTATTAAAAATTGGCCATTAGTTTAAGTTATGTAAACCACCTTATTTCCTTAGTTATATTGTTAAGAGGCAGCTCTTCGTTCAGTCACAGCTAAACGTAACAGTTTCGGTAGGTGTATAACTTTACTGAACGTAAAACGACTGGAACAAGCTCGTGAATTATGAAAAAAAATGAAGAGAATACCAGTTGATATTCTCTTAATGAAATAAGAACGTGTTTGTAATGTTTGGCTGAAACAACGAAATCAAGGAAAATGAGCCTAAACGTAAATCTAACTTAAGATGATCTCAAAAATTAAGCGCGGTTTCGGTTTCTTAGGCGATATTTGTGTAAATAGTAAGTTAAATTGAAAATCACCTAAGCGCATTAATTTATTTTTTCATTAAACACAACGAAAAACTAACAATGAGCTTACCTCCCATGGCGTACTGTGATTCAAAAGCCAAAGAAACGATTAAAAACCACATCAAAGGTGACCGATTTAGCATCCTGCTAAATGGAATATTTCACAAATCTGCACAGAAGAGATAAGATCAAAAGTTCGAAAATTCGAAAAAAGAACAGATCCATAAAAAAAAAATAATGTGTGAAAAATTGCATTGATTAAAAACACCAGAGGGCACACAAGAGGAGGGAAAGTAAAAAATTCAAGGAAACTGCAAATCAACAATCACTTTTTTTCGTAGAATAGAAAAACATCAAATGGATCACCTGAAAAAAGATTTGACTTTGATTAGAGCTGAAATATCTAAAGTTGTCAGTCTCTAATTATTCTTTATAGACATACAACACAACATAACATTGAAAAAGGTAACAATGTACTTGAAGAACAACAACAAACAAAACAACAATAACATCAGCAACTACGGTTCTGCATCATATTGGTTTTCATTAACCCGCAAAAATACTAATAAATATAGTCCCCCGCAAAGCTCTCCACGAATGTCGTCAGATCTTCTCGCTTGGTTAAGCTAAAGGTCGCGCAGATTGTACTTTAATACCTTAGAAATTGTATCAGTGTCAACCCCACTAACACTGATCTTAGACTTTTGTTAAAGTAATGCTTGAGAGGGTTACAAAGATTAAAATATTTCTATGCTTTTGTTACTCACTTACAGCTTCTTTGCCAAAAGTGTTTCCTGAAACGACACCGAGCCTTCAGCGTCGTTCAGCTATCGAGGACGGATCAACTTGCACTTGAAACAACAACAATACCGTAAAGGTAGTATCCCGATATGTCCTCGTTGAATACCGTCAGGGCCTGAGAATGATCAAGACTCCACTGAACGCGGCCTCACCTTCCCTTGTTCAACTGGTATCTGCTAACAATCAATTTGAATGAGGCCTCCTAGTGAACAACGTGTTAATGAATTTATTTAGTTCCTGGATACATGCATTGGTTAACTGGTTATTTTTTCTCCGTCAATTACAGCTTTTGCAGCTTTAACTAAAAGTATAACCTGTAGAATTGGTCAATTGGTGCCAATGACACCTAAGGTTTACCTTTATTCTGTGAAAGCACAACCCTCAGAATTTTCCGTTCTTATTCGTATAGGTAATCACATGATCTCGAGTACAATTTGGAATAAAGAAGCATGAGTAAATATTTCAAAGACTAACAATTTGTGGTCTTCGAAAGAATTTACAAATGCTTATTTATTCCAAACTGCACGAGAAAAATCATGTGATTACGTATTAATACTACACATGAAAAAATACGAGATAGCCTCTCATAATTGTGCTGAAGCGCGCGCGTCAAGTGCAATAATTTTTTATTCAGACCCTGCAAGTAGCATTGTGCGTTCGGTCAAAACAACCGCGTTCGATCAAAACAATAATATGCAATGATATTCAGTTCACATCTTTAAGGCGCAAAAAAGTTCAAATTCCGGCTATACAGTTAAAGGAATTGTTCAGTCTGGTTTGTTACTTCTTTGCACCGAATTAACCCTCTTCTATATTGAATTACCTGAAAACTGCATTTATCTTTACCAATTTGAACTGAGTAATTTTTTCGTGTATCTTATCAATAAAAAAAATGTTAATATATTATTTTGCATAAAGATAAAGTTTCCAAAATTGGAGCTGGAATCGTGTGAAATCGGACGGTATCATCCAAAATCTGACAGGATGCCTCCAAGAACAGACGTTAGCGTCTGAATTCGTGAAGAAGTGTCTGAAAACGTATTATATGTAGTTGTCCGAAATCTGACCAAGCTGCTCGGAATCAGACCGATATGTTCAGCTCATTTGCATCGAACATTCTTTAGAATTGATTTGGTTTCTGTTTGTCTTTCTGGAATTATGGAAGGGGTTCTTAGCCCTGCTTTGTTTTTTTAAGACTTTTTTAATTCTTGATGGATATTCTTTGTTTTTTTGAGAATATTATCCACTGAGGAAACTGGCAGTATTCCGTGTAAGGTTTGTACTTTCAACATTATCTTGTGTTCTACTAGTTCGAGGAACGGAATCGTCTTTACATGTGTGTATCATTTTATCTTTGAAGTTGTAGTTGCGCTTTTCCATCGAAAATGATTGTTAAAGTTTGTTTACATATCAAGGTAGATTGCTAATGCACTTTCTGATGTAATAAGATTTTCTTCCGGTTTACTTTAGTGCGAGCGGGAAGCTGGAGCCGAGATTCATATATCGCGCCAAATTTTTTATTAACTCAGAGTGGCTAATGGTGACTTGGCCACAGTAACAATCTATGCACGAAGGGGAAATGGCGTCGAATCGTTCAAAGCTAGCCAGTTTGATCTTAGATGATGGTTCTGTATACAAAGGGAAGCTGTTTGGATCAGCTAAGTGCGTTGCTGGTGAAGTTGGTAAGGCATTACTTAGTGTTATTTGTTTTCAAAAGTTGACTAGTCGAGCATCGAACTCACGTGTTCGATCCCTTTTCCTCTACAGTACCGAAATGGTTGAAATAAGCCCGTGAAATCGTTGTTCAAAAGTGAGAGACTGTTTTATATTAGAAATTTTAGAGGCTGTAAGTTCTGATATGCGAGGAGAATGGAATTGTGACTCTTTAATTACATAATTAAGTCTTGCTTTCTCCGTGTACAGCTTTTTCTGTCATTGAATAGAATACATTCTAACGAAACGACATTTTTTTACTTACTGGTAAAGAGATTCGACAAAAAACTTTGCCATATGAAACCAACCAAAGGGAAATGACATGAAGGAAATCTTTGATGTACCTATGTGAACGATTAAGGAAAATGTAGTGTGGCTTAGTTTTCTCGTAACCTCTTGCACGTGGTAGAGATGCAGTAGCTATGTTGGCACGTGGTACATGAGCAATAGCAATGTTGAGAAGGTCCCGGATGTCAAAGCATGAAATGTGACATCCGGTCACAAATGTGGCTGGGAGCTTGTAGGAAAATATTTGGAAGATAGTAGATATATCAGTAAATAAAGTTTTCTTACATTAAAGCCAGAGAGTTTATCATAAACAGGCATGTTTAGAAATATGGATAATCGGTTTTAAGACATAAAAGCTAGCTAAGGATGAGATGACATTCACTAAACTAATTTTTCCTTACAATATAAACACAATATCAAGCAGACAAGTGATGAGAAGAAAGAAAATATTAATAAGGGGATTACATAGTTGATCTAATACCAAGTTCTCCAAACTAACATCACAAGAGCTATATGGCAGACAGTAAGGAGAATTACTTATGAGATCTGGGGAGATAAAGGGTTAACTCCCACAAGTGATTAACTTGTAACTTCTCATTATGATATCCATAAACTATCTAGCAAAGAGGTAATGAGAATACTCCAATTTATCAGGTAGAAGTTGTTATCTTGACCTAGTGCCCAATTCTTGTAGCTAATTTATTATAAAATGTATAGCAGCCAGAGAGGAGAATTTAAAATCAGATCTTAGGGTTGATGGGTTAAGCCAACACCATTTGACTCAAAGTCCAAAAAAATATGCTCTTAATGCCAATAGGTCTAAAAAAAAAACAATTTATAAATGAAAAAGTAAATAAATAACTAACGCTTTTATGATTAGTGTTTCAGACTGGTATGGTTGGATATCCACAATCCCTCACAGATCCATCATACAGATGTCAAATTCTTACTCTCACCTACCCACTGATTGGAAACTATGGAGTCCCAGATGGAAAGAAGGACTCGTATGGTTTAACAGCTGAGCTTGAGTCAGATAAAATCTGGGCAGCGGCACTGGTTGTTGGTGACTATGTGGAAGAGTACAGTCACTGGAATGCAAAGAAATCACTTTCTCAATGGCTAGAAGAAGAGGGGGTACCAGGAATTAGTGGTTAGTTGTTTGGTTTTGATCAGGTATTTTTTGAAAAAAGAAATTGTAGTTCATTTTCAGGAGTTGTATGAAAATGTTATGGTTGATTGGGAAGGGATGTAGGGACGATGGTATAATAGTCCATTCCATTATTCCTAGCATTCCAAGATGCTTTGAGAGATCTTCCTTTTACTAGGTGATCGATGTTAAAACAAATGAATACAATTCAGGTAGTAAACTCTAAAATTGCCAGCCAACACAAATTAAATAGTCTATAATTTGTAAACAATGGTTGTTGAAATGGGTTCCAAGGATATACCCCTATTTTAAGTTTCCTGCCTCTAGCAGAATGATAACTGGCTTACTGAAGTTCTAATTAATATTAAATAGAAAAACTAAAGGAAAGTTTCTTGTGTAATTCCAATTTGATGTTTAAATTCAGGGAGTTAATCTTTCAGCTAACATTTCAGATAGGTCTTTGCCAGAGAAACTGGTGACAACAGACTTTGATGAATGGTCTTTGAGGAGCAACCCTCTGATTCTTGTCTTCATAGGGATTTCTCCCTTTCACTATGTTGGTGTCTTAAAGAGAAGAAGAAGACTTAGCAAGGTTCTGTTGGCACTTGCAAAGTTGTCCAGTAATAATAGTGGCAAGGCAGTAGTTCAATAATTTTTTTTTCAACATTGTTTGATTTCTTACATCATTAAAATACATGTCTTTCAGGTATTGACACAAGAGCGTTGACCAAAAAGATAAGAGAAACAGGATGTATGTTAGGAAAAGTGGTGATTGAAGATGTTGAACCCGAGTCTGTACCATTTGACGACCCAAATCAGAGAAACTTAGTCGCAGAGGTTTCATCAAAGGTTAGCTTTATAAGTCTAAAATTTCAAAAAGATCAAATCAGATTGGTGGGCTTTCTAAAGACCAGGCATCTTCTAAATTGTCAGGATTATTCTGTGGTGAGGTGTGTTTTTCTGCATTTATTATGAGTTCAGCTCTTGTCCACTTTGGAACAAGAGAAAATACACATACCATAGGTAGTATTTTGGGTTTTCCATTTGTTAGAATAGGGATATTAGGTGACATGCATAAATATCTATAGACTTTTCATACCTATGATTTTGAATTTGTTTGAGGTTTCTTAAGTAATACTTGGTACTTGAATGAAGAAAATACAAACTTGATCAAACAATTTGATTTGTTTTACCCGTAATTGATAAAATAATAAAACCTAAAAATAATGTTTTTGTAATTTTACATAAGAAGGAAGCTTTATGATAATTACCAAGTACTCTTTGGTAAAATTTGAAATAGTTGAAAAAAATGTAAATTATTAGTTTACCAAATTAAAAAAAACATGGCCATTGTAAACAGTTTCTAAAGCTAATGCTCAAAATGTGATATTTGGAAACCCTTCACAGTGGCCATTTTACAATCTTGTTTCATTTGGTAAAACCAAATTATCATGTAACACTCCAATTGATGCTGCACCAAAGTTTCCAGAGAAACTTTCCTCCTTTATTCATTTCTTGTTTCAATTGGGCCAATTAATGCATTTGACCAAGAGCATAGCTGACATAGGAATGCAATTTGTAGCTTATTTCCTGTAATAGATTGGTCATTTTGATGAAGTTACCAGAGAAACAGAAGTTACACAGTAATAATTTGTTACACTGTAATTATTTTGACAGGCACCAGTTGTTTATAACCCAGATGGTGATTTAAAGATCATTGCTGTAGATTGTGGAATAAAATACAACCAGATAAGGTGTCTCATTGCCAGAGGAGCTGCTGTTAAAGTTGTTCCTTGGAATTACAACTTCAATGATGATGTAGAAAAAGGAGGTAAGTTTTTTCACTACCATGTGGTACAATAAGTAAAATTCAAATTTTGAAAAATGCAATCACCAATTAACTACTGCATTGCTAAGTGGAAGTTGGGTGCCTGAAACATCCAGGAGCATCCACTATTGGCAGCCAGCTTCTAGATGGAGACTTCTCCCATGGCCAGCAAATCCTGGTAACCCAGCCATGAGCCCCCACACTGGGAAGGGAAACAGGCACCCATCACACTAAATAAACAGTGGAAAGAGGGAAGGGGTGGGGAAAATTGCCTGGACAATGAGCTGCCACTTCTCACAATGCTGCAAGTTAATGCTCAAAGCACACACAAGAATGCCTCCAAGGAAGAGATTGGAGTTCCAACACATTTGCAAATTTTAAAGACCACTGACTACTAGAGAACGCTGATGCTCTTTGTTGGTAACTCTGTTAAAGTGCATTCAACTGCTTATAATGCATAGTTTGAGAATATAAGCAAATTTTTCATGTTTCTCTTTTGCTCTTAATGCTACCTGCGCATGTTTTTGGTAAAGGAGAAGTCTAGCAAATAAGTGATGGTGACACATCAAGTTATTTGGGAAATCCTAACCGAAATGGAACTTCAACCTTAGTCAATGTTTTGCTCTTGGTAGGATGTCTATTGTTCATGTAAATGATGGAGTTAGCACATTGTAGTTCAGAGCAAGATATTTTTCAGTCAGTGATTATTTTTTGCTTTCTTTTGCAGAGTGTGATGGTGTGTTTCTAAGCAATGGTCCTGGAGACCCCACTTTCACTACTGATACTATAAACAATATCAGAAAGTTTACTGAACGCACAAATCTTAAACCTCTCTTTGGAATTTGCTTTGGTCATCAGCTCCTGGGATTGGCTGTTGGATGTAAAAGCTTCAAAATGAAGTTAGTTGAAGAAAATCTTGTTCCTGCCTTTTTTTGTTGTTAATCAGCCTTTATGAAAACCATATTTTTAAAATCTACACTATAACAGGAAAGAATTCCTTGTCTTCTTTAATAATGCTGCAATTTAGAGAAATTACTTTAGAATTCTTTGGGAAAAAAGGGAAAACTCCTCTTACACCTGAAAAGCTGATACTTGCAGTGTTAGTCTATTGGACAGCAAAGTACTTTTATTGTCTCCCTAACCTGTCTAATTTTGCTCCAATGAAGGGCTTATAATCAAAACATGGTTGCAGTGGTCAGGACTAATTAAAAGCTCTCCACTGAATGACTTACAATCATGAAATGGTCTCAAGAAGTAAATTTTACATAACACAAAGAAAGGAAATTCTGTGAAAAATGAACTTGCCTTTTGATGCACCAAAACAGTTACCTTAAAAGTGTATTAATTTTTTGTAAAACAAAATCATGTAAATGTTTCAGCAGGCCCACAGGAAAAAATTCTGTTACAATTATGTTCATTTTGTAGGTATGGAAATCGAGGTCACAATATTCCTTGCATACATCATGGCACAGATCGCTGTTTTATCACCACACAGAACCACGGCTTTGCTATTGACACCAACTCTCTGCCACCTGAGTGGTCAGTGTTGTTTACAAATGCTAATGACCAAACAAATGAAGGGATAATTCATAACAGCAAGCCATTCTTCAGTGTGCAGTTTCACCCAGAACATATGGCTGGACCACAGGACTTAGAGTTGTTGTTTGACATCTTTTTGTCCACAGTCAAGCAGTTCAAACAAACTGGAGAGCAATCAGTATCAGTTAAGGAAAAGATTCAGCAGTCACTGAAATTTGAGCCATTAGTCTCCCCCAGTGAACACAGATCCAAGAAAATTTTGATTTTAGGGTCTGGAGGTTTGTCTATTGGACAAGCTGGAGAGTTTGATTACTCAGGGTCACAGGTGAGGCCACAAATGTAATGCTTTACTTAACTGACGCACTTTGGGAATAGTAATATAAATTTGACACAAAAAAATAGCTGGCAAGTGTCGCAGTACCTGTATATTGGTATCATGTAATCTCTGGGCAGGTATGTAGCTTATATATAGTATTCTTAACTTTCTGCAGGCTATTAAAGCTCTGAAAGAAGAAGGTATCCAAACTGTTTTGGTGAATCCTAACATTGCTACAGTGCAGACATCAAAAGGCCTTGCAGACAAAGTCTATTTTCTGCCCATTACAGCCAACTATGTCACTCAGGTAATTAAGCTGACCTTTTTGTTGTTAGAATAATATGATTTTTAAATTTTAACTTCATATTCTCGAAGTAATAATGACAATAGTCAGTTTTAATGAATATTTGTTTTTCTTTTTCCTATTGATGTACAATCTAGGTCATTCAAAGTGAACACCCAGATGGTATCCTTTTGTCATTTGGTGGTCAAACTGCTCTGAACTGTGGCATTGAGCTTCAAGCAAGTGGTGTACTTGAGAAGTATGGTGTCCAAACACTAGGGACTCCAGTTAGTTCTATAGTTTGTACTGAAGACAGAAAGATGTTTGCTGAGAAACTGGCAGAAATTGGGGAGAGAGTTGCCCCAAGTGAAGCAGTGTATTCTGTCAAGCAGGTTAGTGCATGTTTGTGTGAACTGCTCGGGAGGGGGTAGTGGTGAATGACACAAACCTAAGCCTTGATAGCTCTTGCCATCATGCAAAAAATTGGATCCAACGACATTATTATTTCATGATGTATGCTAAAAAGCTGTTTTCTGTTATTATGATGGGACCTCTACAATTGTAGAAACTTTTGTATACTGGTGTGACATTACAAAAACAGTTTTGACAAGAATTAGTTACATTCCTATGGGTGTTGTCGAAATCCATGTCTAGGCTATTGCTGCCGCTGAAAGACTTGGGTATCCTGTGTTAGTGCGGGCAGCATTTGCACTTGGTGGCTTGGGGTCAGGATTTGCTCAGGACAGAGAAGAACTGGTTTCCCTTGTCAATGCAACCTTTGCCCATACCAAGCAAGTGAACCTGGACAAATCATTGAAAGGATGGAAGGAGATTGAATATGAGGTTGTCAGAGATGCTTTTGACAACTGCATCACAGTGAGTATAGTACAGTGTGATAAAATTGTGATCATATAATTCCTCTAAAAACATATGTGTTATGTATACAGTAGTTGGGGAGACACTTCGGCAAAATGGTTAGGGCGGTGGACACTGTATTTGAGAAATGGTCAGTTGATAGTGTAATGTTTGTAGGCAAGACACTTTCTCTCCTTCCCAACACAGTGCCTCTCTCCACCTAGTATAAATAGGTGTCACCAAACTGACCAGAAAACCTGACAAAATGCTGCAGGGAGAGCATGATGAGTAGCTTTGTGCTGGAAAGATATATATATATATATATATATGTGCAAATTAGCTGGCTGCACATTAAATGTACACCCAGCTAATTTGCAATTCAGGCCATCCGTGTCCAGTCAAGAACAATTTGATTTACCGCATCAACAACAGGATTATAGCTTGAGACCTCACAATCCACCTGCTGGGAATTCTCGCTGTCTTATTAGTCAGGCACAGACACCAAATGAATATGCAACATACATGTTGTTTGGTTACCTGTTGTTGAATGAACCTGTAATGGACCAAGGAAGAAGCAGTACTTTGTATATCTTCATGCTACAGAAACCAGCACAAGCTCTGGCTGGATTTGCTACTTTGGACAAGTACAGAGTCAAATTTTTTACCAATCCATCATTGTTTCCCTGTAGGTTTGTAACATGGAGAATGTTGATCCACTTGGTATCCACACTGGAGAGTCCATTGTTGTTGCTCCAAGTCAGACACTTACCAATTCAGAATACAACATGCTGCGCACTTGTGCTGTCAAGGTTATCAGACATCTTGGAGTTGTTGGAGAATGTAACATACAGTATGCTCTTAATCCAGAATCTAAAGAGGTTTGTATTTTTTTTTATATGAAGTATGTGTGTTATTACTATAACTCTCCTCTATCCCAGTCTTGTGTATTGGATTCTTTTCACCACTTTGCTTCAGTAGTTTCTGTATTTGTTTATTTGATGATTTCTTTTTTGTGGAATTAAGGTGCAAATGGGGCGTGGTGCATTTATGCCAAAAATAACATGAAATGATGAGAAAAAGATAAAAACTTTTTTCTTCATAGTACACTTAAATAAACAACTATGCAAATGTAAATTTTACCTGCTTTTGTTTTTGTTTTTTTTGATTGCTAGTATTTCATCATTGAGGTAAATGCACGGCTTTCTCGAAGTTCAGCTCTCGCATCAAAGGCTACAGGCTATCCCTTGGCATATGTTGCAGCAAAGTTAGCTCTGGGAAGACCCTTACCAGTGTTAAGGAACTCAGTCACCAACTCTACAACAGCTTGCTTTGAGCCTAGCCTGGATTATGTCGTCGTTAAAATTCCCAGATGGGACTTGGGCAAGTTCAGCAAGGTTAATACAAAGGTAAGAATCACCTACCATGCTGTGAGGAATTTTAGCTTAGACACTACCGCTGGCAAGCGCTATTTGGTGAAATTCATATTGAGGAAATTACTTTTGGCACATCCTAAGCAGTTGTGAAATGAAATGATTAATTCTTATGTAACTTTTCAATCTGTAGATTGGAAGCTCAATGAAAAGTGTTGGAGAAGTAATGGCTATTGGACGACGGTTTGAAGAGGCCCTACAGAAAGCCCTAAGGATGGTGGACGAGTCAAACCTGGGTTTTGATTCTCATGGCCATACTGCATCTGATGAGGTAAGTTCCTTTTTCTTTGTACAATCTTCATCACCTATGTCCTTGACTGTGTACCAAATAGTTTGTAGAAACTATGTGCCTGGGAGTGTAAGGGTTACAAATAGTCTGTTCTACTCAGGTTTTTGACATTAGTAAAACCCTTCTGTCAAAATAATTGTGATTTCTGTGATATAGGAATTGAAGCAGCCTTCTGATCAGCGTATTCATGTGCTTGCTGCTGCATACAAGGAAGGGTACAGCATAGATAAGCTGTACGAGCTGACAAAGATTGACAAGTGGTTTTTGAGCCGCATGAAGTGCATCATGGATTATGCACTTTTGTTGAAAAATTACAGAGAAAAGGCTGAGGTAAGAACAAATTCTTCAGACATTTTCCTCTCTAGCATGACTTAACTTACCCTTTTTTGAATCAATGGATCAGTTACTATTGTCAGGTTAGACAACATAAGAACAACTCAAATCATAAAAGCTTTTTGTTGGCATGATTGAAAAATTAATACAAGCTAACAGGGCACCGAAATTCATCTAGTTGACAGACATAAATAAATTTCTTTTGATTGTTTGTATTGGTGTTCCTTTAAATGATAGCAGCTGTGTGAATTCTAGGACACAATGTATAATTTTGTTCATTGATATGTATAGAATTTCTTGTAATAATATTGTCTTATGCTGCACTCGTGAGTGTTGTTTTATTGACAATGTTTTATTGGTGATTTATGCTCCCTGTAGCCTGGTCAACCGTCATCAACATCTACACCCTTAATGCACAGAGAGAAGGTAGAGAGTTTGAAGTAGCAAACAGCAAATTAAACTCAAAACGTTATGAACATTTTTATTAACCAACTAACTGCTTTACAAGGACAGGGAAAGTTAGAAAGCATCTAGCGACAATCATGGTAATGTCTTGCACTATTAATAGCTAACCTTTAATATATAAGCTAAACATGTCCATTATAACAAATTAAAAATTGACTAGTCATTTGAAATAAAGCTGCTGGATTAAAACTCTTTTAGAATTTTAAATGGCTACTTGAAAACAAGGTAAGAAGTCAAATTGTACTAAACTTGAATATATAATTACTTGAAACACTAACATACATGTAATATGTGAATAACAAAAGAATGTAAATGATAATCAGAAATGCAACAATCATACAACTTTAGCTACTGTTATCTTGACACTCAGAAAATCCTGATCATGAGAAATTTTTCTGGAAAGTGGCTATGTTGCGAGAACAATCCAATCAGACAATCAGACATAGTTTGCCATCATGTTCCTACTAACATTGTGATTGATTATAAGGCCAGAAACAATACCAAAAAAGTTCAGTTATTCATGGTTTTTTCAACCAAAATTGGCAAAGAAAAAATACTTTTAGCAGTACATCTCCTTTAATCTTTTGTCGAGTGAAGCTTGAGATTATCTTAGCAGCTTGATGTTGTTGTTGTTGCATTTTTATGGACCTGAACACCAAAAAATAAACCAAAAAAAGAACTTGCCAACCTTAATTGCCTCCTGCTTGTTCAATACTGGGAAATCTCAACTCTATGTAATCCTTTAACTCCCATGAGTGATCAAGGCAGAATTTCTCCTCACAATATCAATACGCTATCAACCAGATCAGTGATGAGAATAAAGAAAAAGATCAGTTTGGGGATAATAAGTTGATCCAATACCTAATTCTCTGAACTAACATTATAAGAATTGTATGGTTGACAGTAAGGAGAATTACAAATTTGATCTGGGAGTTAAAGGGTTAAGTCATTTCCCTAAAAGAATGGTCATTACTGGTGGTAACTCAAAATTTCTGTTCACTCGGCCTGACACTATTTATTTCCAAACTGGGTGAAAGTTGGCTTTGTAGGGATCAGGTAGAAGGTATGTTTGTTTGTTTGTTTTTTTTTTTTTCAGAATAAAAGTTGAAAAGTATGTGCATTTGTTCCTTTATAGGCAGCTGAAGTCTCATATGAGCATTTACTTGGAGCTAAACAACTAGGATTCTCTGATAAGCAAATTGCAAAGTGTATTCACAAGTAAGTTGCACATGTAGCTATGGAAAATTTTGTATCCTTTATATCATTTTGCAAGATTTTCAAATCTAACCTCACCAGCTGTAGCCAGTCAAAAGGATTCATACATGGTTTGATAGGATTAGGTCATTCAGTTTCCTCACCTCTGTCAGGTGCTCAGTATCATGACTAGCAGAATGCATTCTTGTTAAATGGCAAACTACAAATTCAGTTATCTGTACATCTGAGCATTCAAAAAAAAGAAAAACGTTATTGATTTGCTTAACCTGAGCCAGCAACTTCATTAATTATCTTTTGTGACCAATTGGAATGTAAGGTTATTTGTCTACTTTCAGCACTGAACTTGCCGTTCGCAAAGTTCGGCAGCAGTATGGTCTTACTCCATATGTAAAGCAGATTGACACCGTGGCTGCAGAGTACCCAGCCTTTACAAACTACCTGTATCTGACTTACAATGCATGTGAAGATGATATAGACTTTGAGAGTGGGGCCTGTATGGTAATTGGTTCTGGGGTGTACCGAATCGGCAGCAGTGTGGAATTTGATTGGTGCGCTGTAGGCTGTATCAGAGAACTTAGAAAGGTAGGTACACTGTAGTAGTTGTTTTGATATTCCCCTTGCATGTAAATCACCTCAGAAAGCAGGTCAACCTTATTATTTGAGAACCTCTATCGCCATGTCACAAGTGTCCTAGTAACAAATTTTCTTTATTTTTTAGTTGAAGAAAAAGACCATAATGTTGAACTATAATCCAGAAACTGTCAGTACAGATTATGATGAATGTGAGAGACTGTACTTTGATGAAATCTCCTTTGAGGTGAGTGTTGCACAGGGCTCCAAGCTCAACTTTTTACAAAATTTTTCCAAACAGATTGGTTTGTAGTAAAGCCATTTTTATGAGTTTTTCACCTAACAAGTGTCTATCTGTTATTTTAGATTGTTATGGACATTTATGAGAAAGAAAATCCAGAGGGTATTATCCTAAGCATGGGAGGACAATTACCAAACAACATTGCAATGCAGCTTCACAGACAACAGGTAGGGGTCAATCAGTCAAGCAGTCAATTGATTATTGATATTAACCAATAATCCATGGCACCTAATATTCACTTCATTCACCCCCTGCCCCCCCTCTCCCCCTACTCCCCCTCTCCCCCCACCCCCCTTCCCCCTCTCCCCCTTCCCCCCTATCACTCCCTCTCCCCCCATTTACATGTAAACCGGTGGACATTCTGGGGCTTCAAGGCTCAGAAAGGTGAAAGGTGCAGTAACTGGCGATCAAAACCCTTAGTGTTTATCTTTAGTATGCATCACCAATAAGTCACTGGCCAACAGTGGTTCGTCAGATGGATCTCTCCAAACTGCTATGAGTGTAATGTTATTGCATCATTTGTTGTGTAGGTTCGCATCCTCGGCACCTCTCCTGAGATGATTGACAATGCCGAGAATCGTTTCAAGTTTTCCAGAATGTTGGACAACATTGGAATTCTGCAGCCACAGTGGAAAGTTCTTACAACTTTAGAGGTATGTTGTGTAAACAGATCATCCTTTTCAAATTATGTAAAGAATAACTATTGAGGAGAGAGAAATGTTTGAAATACTTACCTCAATGCATTCAAGAAGCGTCGTTGGTAAAACTGATTAGTTAAAGTTATGAAAAGACAACTCATTTGCACTGAATATTTTCATATGCCATAGCTGTAGTGTAGGTGTTAGTGTTTGTACAGCGGCTGCATGGCACGTTACAGCTGTTTAAGAAGTTGCATTAAATGTGTGCTTAAAAATGTGGGGAAAAGAGTAAATCTGTAAGAATTCAACTGACCACAGACCGACCAATTTCGACGAGAATCATTAACACTCTTTTTGAAAACATTTATTTTACAGGATGCCAAAAAGTTCTGTGCCACAGTTGGGTATCCCTGTCTTGTGCGACCATCCTATGTGCTCAGTGGTGCGGCCATGAATGTTGCATTTTCTGATCATGAAATGGTTACGTACCTTGGCAATGCTCAGTCTGTATCCAGTGAACACCCTGTTGTTATTTCCAAATTCATTCAAAATGCAAAGGTGAGAAGCTGTTTTCAAGCATGCTTACATCTCACTTTGAAGAAGCCTGCGTAATACCAAGTTACCTACTTTCTTTAATATCATCATCTGCACAAATTGCTCAACTTGTCTCTGCAGGAGATAGATGTCGATGCAGTGGCTAGTGATGGTGAGGTGGTTGTCATGGCTGTATCTGAACATGTAGAAAATGCTGGTGTCCATTCTGGTGATGCTACAATGGTTTTACCTCCACAAGATCTGAATGAAGAGACACTCAAAAAGATACGAAAGATCTGCTTTGATATTGGACAAGCCTTAATGGTCACAGGGCCTTTTAACATGCAGCTGATTGCTAAGGTTTGTCTTCTGTATGTACACATGGTTTTATTAAGAACCCTTTTTTTGCCGTCTCTGTTCAGTTCTAGTTCACAGATGAGGCCAAATTGAGGTCAAAGAATCGCACACGAGCTGCGAGCGAGTGGCTCACTCATGTTACCGATTTTAATATCAGATATGACCTGTAACTGATTAGATGCAAATTGGAATCTATTTTATTTACACAATGAACAGGGAGGTACTTTACCTTTTAACTCACACTACTGTCTCCTCGATGGAAAAGCGAAAGTTGCCTTTTTACATGAAAACTTACTTGTCCTTTTTAATTTAAAGTTTTCCTCCTATGATCTGAAAACAAATTCCTCCAACTGATGACCAGATGTTACTTTCTTGGTTAGTATTGAGAATTTGAAATTGGGAAATATGCCACAATGATAATTTTCTTTCTCCTCGTCACGTGATAATTACGAATGGTGATAGGTTTATTAAAGTGAGTTATATTGTTCGATTCACAGGATAATGAACTGAAAGTAATCGAATGTAATCTTCGTGTGTCCCGGTCCTTTCCTTTTGTATCCAAGACTCTTGATCACGACTTTATCGCTATGGCAACACGAGCAATCTGTGGTGTACCTGTCGAGCCAGCTTTGGATTGCACGGGATATGGCCGAGTTGGAGTGAAGGTGAAAGGAACGTTTAGCATAAGAGCAGTTTGGGTCAATTTGTTCTGTTTCAATACACTTGAAAGGAATAAAGTAGCTAGCAGAGGTGTCTGGCTCCAACGAGCTTCTTCAATTTTGAGATACTGACTTATCAGGCGCACGTTATTTCACTAATCCTCAACACAGAAATGTCTAGTCTTGTAATTTCTTTAATTTCGGAGAGACATATTTATGACTAAGCGATCTTCGTCAGTTTCCGTATTTTAGTGCTCAAACTCTTTTTTGAACTTCTATGCAATCGCTGAACTAAATGTGACGCTTCTGAGGCCGGTAATTAAAAACCGTTAGCATTATTTCCGGTTTATCTCACGGCACATGCTGTCACCAGCACCGTAAACAACGCCGTGTTTTCAATAAAATGTAGAACATTGAAAAGGGTCTTTTTACGAAAAAAGCGAACATTTCATATCTTGTTCGGAAGGATTGTGTCAGAGATGACAAAAAAAGTAAATCGATTTTTGTTTTTTCATCGTTTTTTTTTCCCTTTTTTGTCATCAAGGTACCTCAATTTTCTTTCTCACGCCTGGCTGGGGCAGATGCCATGTTAGGCGTGGAGATGTCTAGTACGGGAGAAGTGGCCTGTTTTGGCGAAAATCGGTACGAAGCTTACCTCAAGGGTATGCTTAGTACTGGGTTTAAGATTCCTCAAGAGTGCATCCTCCTATCGATTGGAAGCTTTAAGGTACAATGACTTTTAAAAGTTTAAATTTATTTAAGTTAGTTTTCATTTCACTGAAAGGTAATTTCAATACTGTTCCAAATATCGCAAACTTGAGTTCATCTTGAACTTCAGACCCCGCCTTACAGACTTGAAATTCAAATTTGACCACAGTTACATTACTCCTCACTGATATCTCAAAAGTTTATTTTTTTTTCCTCTCCGATAACAATTTGAACCTTAGGGATATTTTTCTCTCAATTTTACCCTCGATATCTTGGACGAGCTTAAAGAGAAAACCATCTGGATTTTAAGCACTTAGCTACTTTGTGCTCTTTTTGATCATTCTCTTTTGACACTACAGTTGTTCCCAATAGCATTTTACAAACTTTCTTTGAACAACGCGATAATTTTTATTGTTGTGTGGTTTGAATGTTTTTAGTCCAAGAATGAGATGTTACCAAGCATTAATACTTTGGTAGAATTAGGATTCAAGTTATATGCCAGTCCAGGGACAGCTGATTTTTACACGGAGCATGGGGTTAAGGTCAGTAATCACTACCATTTTCATTTATCAAACATTGAAGAAAGCTTAGAGGGACAAAAGGTTTAGGGTTGTTGTGTCTTAATTCGTGGTAACCACATGTCAGGAAATGATCCGTCCGGCTACAACTGACATTTTTGGAGAAAAGCCATTCACCCATATTTAGTCAGACAGTTAGTTTACCACTTTTTCTGTCTAAAGAAACTGTGGTGCTGCGTCGGTGGGAGAGTTTAGCAAAAAATAGTTCGGAAAGCCGCAAAACGCTAGAACAAAAGTTTATCTTCCAAATCGGCACTCTTAACCCCCACGGTATCAACGAGCGCTTTTCATTCGACTAATTTATTCTTGTTTTCTCGTCACCATATTCCCACCAATAGCGTAACTATATTTTCTGAATATAAACCTACACACGAGCCACAATTCTTCCAATCACTCTGACGAGGGGCTCACGCTCGAAACGTCAGCCTTTTTACTCTTTACGGTGGCCAGTTTACGTTTTCAACTCAGTTGTTAACACTAATTTACCTTTCAGTCAGGCAGTCTGTCTGTCAGTCGTTTGCGCCTGTTTAATACTCTTGACCGCTAGCAGAAACAATTCACTGACTCGTATTTACATCGTGCCATTGTGAGCTTCTTGGAACTTCTCTGTGTTAAAGAAAATGGATGGAATGGTCGCAAAAAAGAAAAAAGAAAAAGCGCAATATAAGTATTAAATAAATAAATAAAAATAAATATTTTAGCCAGGGAATTGTGTAGTTTTATTGGTAGAAAATTTTTTGTCACTCTTGAAGGCAAGGTAAGTCTATCGATGTAAAAATACGCATAATTTCATAATTGCATATCTCCTTCATAATTAGGGCGAACACATTTCAGGGTTTCTCGACTTCTTCCTTAACCAGTGGTGTTCTTTACACGCAGGTCAAAACAGTGGATTGGCCATTTGAGGAGGGAGGTAATGGCGCCACAGAGCAGAGTATTCTAGATTACCTTGCACAGAACAAGTTTGATTTGGTGATCAACCTTCCGCTAAGGAGAACTGGCTCCAGGCGTGCGTCGTCTTATATAACACATGGTTACCGCACCCGCAGAATGGCTATAGATTATTCCATACCACTCATCACAGACATTAAGTGTGCTAAGCTCCTTATTGAGGTAATTACGAGAAGTTAAGTAAATGACATGCTTGTGCACATTGTTTCACGATACTAAATGAATGTTTAATCGTTTGGCTCACGAAGTAGAGTCACTATCGTCTGTGGAGAGGCCAACTGAAAGTCTGGTTTGGAACGAATCCGCTGAACGTCTTTAATTTTGTAAACAATAATGTTTATGGACCTTGTACTAAGTCACAACTTGATTTGTTCTCTTGTGTACTTAATTTGTTCCCTTGAGTAGATCTTTGTGATTTGTAGGCTCTAAAGAGAATCGGCGGAGCACCTAAACTGAAGACTCACATTGATTGCATGTCATCTGGCCGCGCAGTTCGTCTGCCTGGGTTGATTGACGTACATGTGCACCTGCGCGAGCCCGGGGCGACACATAAGGAAGATTACTCATCTGGGACAGCAGCAGCTTTGGCTGGTGGTGTGACAATGGTGTTAGCCATGCCTAACACTAATCCCGCTATTGTTGATGAATCAGCGTTCAATCTGATTAGAAAGGTACGGTGGAGATGATTTGTAAAAAGCAGAGCTTTATTTGAGTTACCCGTTTACCATGACGGCATTGTTATATTTACATGTTTTAAAAATATCTAATTAGTACTCTTTTATTGACTCTTAGACCCACAAAATTGACTTGCGTCTAATTTCTCCTCACATTATCACCCCTAATCACACATTTAGATCATGAGAATAAAGGAAATGATCACCAACAGAAGAAGCTCATAGTTGTTAAACAAATTCTCCTTGTCAGCACCTTAGGAAATGTAAAGAGAACAGTGTGGAGAATATAGAGACTGATTTTAGGGTGACAAGAGTAAATATAATACCATACTATTTAAATGGCAAAGTAAGATCGGTAATTTTTATCTTAATGAAGGAACAATTATTGTAATTTCTTTTGGACACGACGCTAAATGTACAACTGAGATTTTACTTTATCAATCCTCAATTTTCAGTTGGCCTCTGCTGGTGCTCGATGTGATTATGGTATATACTTGGGTGCCAGTGCTGATAACTACACGACAGTGAAGGATTTGGCCCACCTGTCTGCCGGTCTAAAAATGTACCTCAATGAAACGTTTACTACTCTGAGACTTGACGATATGTCAACATGGATGAAGGTGGGGCCTCGTTTGTTTCGATAGATAGCGCTATCCGGGATTCTCTGCCGTAGCGATCGCGATTTTTTCTCTGCACCAGTTTTCTTAATTACAGCTGGGATATGTAGGATGTATTGCGCTTCAGTTACGTTGTAAACATGCCAAAAGTTTTTATTTGCGTTGGTAAATTGTTTTTCATCATTTTTATTCATTCCAGCATCTTGAGCATTGGCCAAAACATATACCACTGGTGTGCCACGCCGAGGGACGCACAACTGCTGCCATCCTTTTGCTAGCAGAGCTTGCTGATAGACCAGTTCATATAGCTCATGTGGCAAGGAAAGAAGAGGTGAGAGCAAAAAAAACCGGGCTACTTGATTAGTACCCCCCTCCCCTGGCGTGGTCCATTCCTCCTTAGTCAACGAGGCTCGGTTTAGGCCGTTTGTCACTCTACAAAAATGTAAGCGGTAGTTCTACGTCCTCCATTCCCTCCAATCTGGCCTTATTCAGCCTTATACTAGCATCTCCTTCGGCGTTCTTCCTCTTGTGCCAAAGCAGATGTTGAATTGCGTTGTCGTGTTCTTCATCTGAAAACAAAGTAATGAAAAAAAAAATAGAAACTGGCTTGGAAAGGGAAGAACTTGAGCCTTAGATGGTCGTCTTGAGATTCTGCTCACGTTTTGCCGAACGGGCTCTTTGGCAATGTCTTAGTATATTCCTGAAGGAAGTGTTCCTCAGAGATAATCATGGAGCAGTAGAAAGCATTATTCACTATCGCTGCGTTTCTCATGTAATCTTCCTAACATAACTAACTGACCCAAACTGATAATAAACTGAACCAACTGACCCCACTACCCTTGTATTGTGTGTAGGTGCTTGTGATTCGAGCTGCGAAAGAGAGAGGAATCCAAGTCACGTGTGAAGTATCGCCTCATCACTTGTTCCTGACAGAAGATGACGCGGATAGGATTGGCATCAAGAGAGTTGGGGTCAAGCCTCCTCTTGTAACGGCTGAAGATCAGAAGGCACTCTGGGATAATATGGACATCATCGATTGCTTTGCTACAGATCATGGTGAGGTTCATTGGCCTGAATATTATAACTGATAACATTTAACTCTTAGGTCTTGTGCACATAATTCAGCATGAAAGTTTATCGTCGCGCGGTTTTTACTTAAGTGTTTAATTTTTTCTTTCTTGTAGCACCACATACACTGGAAGAGAAAGATTCTGATAAGCCGCCGCCTGGCTTTCCTGGACTGGAAACCATGCTGCCTCTGCTGTTAACTGCAGTGCACCAAGAAAGATTAACGATTGAAGTAAGAATCAATTCTCATTTTCTCATAAGCTTGCAGTACATTTTACAGCCTTTGTCAAACAGGGTCAGAAGGAAGCAGGGATAGAACACTGATGAGGATAGTTTCCGTCTCACCAGCTTCCCCGGTGCTCAAATGTGTTTTTGCTAAGTCCCTTTTTCGTGTGTAATTAAGTCTGTGAGGTTTGCTCCGATATTTACTCTGGAGGAAGTAAAGGAAATGGTTGTATGAAGAAAATCCATTTCTACTTAGTGCTTCCTTATTGTAAGGCTTACAATAGGGAAGCACTGGTTGGCTTTTATTAGCCGGACTACAAGTAATCTTTCTTTTTGTCTTACGTCCAACCATTTGTCGATCGCGGATGATCATAAGATTTCGCGCGACACTTGCCGATTTAGTCTACATAGTCAAATGAACGACCTGTATATGGAGTTCTGACTTATGCACTGATGATGTGTCTTTCTATGCTACAACAAAATGTCAAAGGGGATATTTTGAAATAGACTGGGTCCCAATAATCCAAGTTATGTGAAATAAGTGTAGCAACATCGCAAATGTGTTTCCAACATGTAGTTAGCTTTTGTCCAATACGTTTATCAGTATTGCTTCATATGTTGGACTTACTAGTATTAGTGATCCTCGGGAAAGTGTAACTGACGTTTAGTTGTTAAACGTGTGTTAGGACATTATTCTTCGACTGTGCACGAATCCACGAAAAATCTTCAGCCTTCCCGAGCAGAAAGATACATACGTTGAGGTCGAAATTGGAGAGGAATGGACTATTCCGTCCGCTATGACTTACTCTAAAGCGCAGTGGACGCCATTCGCCGGAATGAAAGTCAATGGCTGTGTTAGAAGAGTTGTGCTGAGGGGTGAAACTGTGGTTATTGACGGAAAGGTGAGTGTGAGGCTTCCTTTCCTCTCTTTTATTGGTTGTTGAAGGCCGATTAACATTATTTGCTTGGTAACACGGATTCTTAATCTGTGCCGAAGGAGGCTGTGAACAATTCCGGTTAGATCTGTGTTGGAAAAGGATAACTTGTTGAGTGTCTTTGAATCTGACTTTGGGTCTGGAGAGTTTTGAAAAATGACGAAAACTACGTTTTTCAACTAAAGAGCTAGATTTTCCGCTAACAACTTCGTAACCTCAGAGCGCTCAAATAGAGTAGCTGAGGTCGTCACCAGTAGCAAGCAGTTCTTGTTGATCTTCAGATTGATAGAGAATTATTACACTGCAGGTCCTGGCGGTCCCTGGAGCTGGACAAGATGTGCGCATGATCAGTTCATTGCCAGCTGCGCCACCCGTCTACCAATTGCAACCGCAGCCTCAGATACCGCCCCCCAGTCCCAGGAAGGTGTCAGACACCCGCTGGGGCTTTCCACCGGCTGTACATCGGTTTGTTGATACGCATTATGGCGGACCAGAACCTCTCAGCGTGTCTTTAGGAGGTACTTAGGCTCACAATTCAATCGTTGTTCAGTTTAAGCACGCGTGACATGGACAATATCTCGCGCCAAAACTGCTGCTTTGCTTCGCGGGTGTAAAACTTTGGCGCTTGTGCTGCTCCTGCAAAAAGCACCTCTTCTCCCCAAATGAACTCAACCAGAAGTACGGGACTGAAATTCCTACAAAAAAAGTTTCGGGAGAAACTAACCAACCTCTGAAAGGTAGCATTCAAACAAATGTGACTTTTACTCCCGTAATTTAAGGGCCCTCTTTCTATTCCTATCCCCTTTTTAACATGTTTTTCTCTTTTTGTTTTTCAGATGGGACCCCAGAGTCTGCACCGCATTCTGTCCATACCCCTCCACACCCAGTGTCGCCAGGTGTACATTCACATGTCCCAATGACCCTTCCCCATGTACCTTCCCATGTGATCTGGGGTCAACACATTTTGAGCGCCAGTAAATTCACCAGAGAGCAGGTATATAAACGGCTACCTTTTCCTCTTGAAGAGCGAGGTGTACCACCAACGTCCAAATTCTCTTTACTTGTCTTCATATATTTTGTATTCCCAGCTTCCTTTGGAAAAATTCCCAGAGATTGAATTTGTAAGCTTGACTCCTCAAGTATGGACACAAACGAGTGTTCCAAATACCACCTTGAAAATACGAAGATCAAAACTCCAAGATTTAGCTCGCACTCTTCTAAAAACTAGATTAGCCTTCAAAGAGCTGTAATTTGAAACGCTTTGTTAAATTACGATACAGTTAAATGCTATGGTTAGAAGGAAAGTGTTATTGAACAACTAGATCTTAATGAAATCTATCGCAAAGAAGAAAGGTAAAGGCTGAAATGCTTTTCGATGAGTGTGATTTTATTTAAAATTGATATTGGTTTTTATTGTATATACACATGTTTATTTGTTTTCGTAAATTTCTTATAATTGGAAACACAACCTCACAAAAAGGTTTATACCTGAAGCCATATCTTGGATGGACTAAGGATATCCTTCTTGTTGTTGATAGTCTGTTAGTAAGGATGTTCTGCTTAGAAGAGCGTATTTTCTTTACACAGCTCCATTTCCTGTTCAACGTGGCTCATCAGATGCGGCTGGTCGTTCAGAGAGAAGGTGTACTGGATTTGCTTAAGGTAATACTTTGTTAAAACTCTGATGAGAAAATAATTTCCTCCGAAGATTATTTAGCTCTGAAACAAATTTGGGGAAAATAGGACGGTGTAATTTCGTTCGCTAAATTCCAAATCGTCTGGGCTCAAGCCTTGGTCAGGTCACTACGTTGAGTTCTTGGGTAATACTCTTATTTTTACTGTTCCTCTCTCCACCTAGGAGTTTAGATGGGTCCCCCCCCCTCCTCCTGGCGTGGGAAAAGGGATTTTGCAGTGTACTAGAATCTCATCAGGGGGCGGAGGGTAGCACTATTCTCATTCACTTAATGTCAAAGATCCCAGGATAAGCTTGGATATTAGCCAGTCGCCTCTTCCTCAAACTTCCCTTCGGATTTGTTGTCTGTCATCACACATGTATAAAGTTATCGCCTTACCAACAGATGAGACTTGTCTGTCTGCTTTGTGTATCGACTGTGATTCATTATTTGATTGATTTGGCTCCCAACACCGGATTGATTTCCCTTGTTTTTATACAGGGTAGGGTGATGGCATCGTTGTTTTACGAAGTCAGTACACGGACGTCATCATCGTTTGCTGCCGCCATGCAGAGACTGGGTGGATCTGTTATCTTTATGAAGGAACAAGATTCATCGGCCAAGAAGGGAGAAAGTCTAGCAGGTAGTATTTTAGAAGACGCAATATGGATAAGAATATTTCCTTGGATTGGTGACGTTTTCGAGAGAGTAAATTTTGTTGATTCTGTTCTGAGGGTAGAAAGTGATAGTTACACCTCAAGGTCTTAAAGTATAGAATAAGTAAACCATCGAGGCAGCAGCCATGTACAGCTGTTTTGGCCAGGTAAGACTAAATTTTATCTTCAAAATGATAACAAACAAAGCTGTCGGTTCTCACAAGTGGTAATATTTTGAACGACAGACTCCGTACAAGTGATGTCATCTTACTGTGATGTAGTAGTGATACGACACCCTGAGCCCGGAGCAGTACAGGTCTGTTATTATCCTTTGGTGCTTTTCTTCTAACAGAACTGTTAGTCAGTCTGTCTGTCTGCCTGTCAGTCGCTTGTAGTTGATAACCACTGAGCTGAGTGACTGTCTGATTCTGTTCTTCCTTTCGTGGCATTTTATTCCCTTAACTGTTAAAGTTAGTTTATTTTGATGTGTTAACCCTCTTACATAACTGTTAGTCTGTCTGTCCATCTTTATCTTTGTCTCTCTGTCAGTCAGTCTGTCGATCAGTCAGTCACTCAGTGAGTCCGTCAGCTAGTCCTTTAGCAAGTTCTAGCTGGTTTTCCCCCAAGTGTCGGTATGTTTCTTTTTTCGTTGCATTTTATGCCTCTAATTTAATTTGTTAATGTTGTATGAGGATTGCAATGGGTTTTTACCATTTACAGAAAGCCGCCGAACACTGCCGCAAGCCAGTCATAAATGCGGGCGATGGAGTTGGAGAACACCCGACCCAGGCCCTATTGGATGTGTTTACCATCCGTGAGGAGATTGGTACTGTAAACCGTCTGACGGTAAGGAAAACAATCCGCTGTACTTTGTTAGTGAATACCTAAAAGTTTTGAGGTGCCCAAGATGATAACGTGGAACGAAACTCCTCCAATGTGCTGAATGTATGTTTTCTAATATCTGTCCCGGACATGCTATGACCTACCAGCATAGGTTTCATGATCCATTGGTGAGTGTTACTGCTAATGTGGCCTCTTGAAGTGCAGGCGGCTAACCATCAGGGAAACAGTCCGAACATAGCTTAGGGAGTGTTCTATGAGAGTATGGATTGCTGATAACTGATGTCCGAATACAAGGTGTGCAAAGGGAAGGTTACACTTTGAATGTGATCTTACATCCAAAGCACAGGTTATCTTGAGAAAGGTCAAAATAACTGATTATTTTTCTGGCCAGTCGTGTTACAAACCATACATCTGCCCTGTACCTCTCCCTAACGAGTTTTCACTTTCAGAGATACGCAAATTAATCATATTAGATAAAGTTTTGTTCTGATTTGGTTTTCAAAGGTGACCATGGTCGGAGACCTGAAGAACGGCCGTACTGTTCACTCATTGGCCAAACTGCTTTGCCTCTATGACGTCACGCTCCGTTATGTTTCACCTGCGGCACTTTCAATGCCTGAATCCGTCAAGGAATATGTCCGGAGGAAAGGAATACATCAGGTGAGTGACAGCTGCAGTTGCCTTGACGACAGTGGGCTGACTGAAGCGTTGATTGGACGTAAAAGCCCTGAAGAGTGCATTGCTGATGTTGGAAGAAAGTTACTACAATTGGCAAACAAAATTGAGAACGATTCAGGTCCGACGTTTGTTTTGGTTATTGTTTTAAGCAGAAAATTTTAAGGTTTGTGCAGATCACGGAATACATGTAAAAGTCACCTGTTTTTCATTGTAACTTCCCAAGACTGCAATGCGAATGTGAGTTTGACTGGAAGTATTGTTCCCCATAGGAACATGCACCAAAAAATATGGTTATCCAAACGAAAACGCACTAGTATGGATTGGGGTTGAGAATGGGAACCTCGATCGAAAACCAACGGAGAAATTAAGAGCAAGAACTGCAGTGCTATATAATGGGATCTGATTGGCTGATTCTCTCTTCACAGGAAGAATTTTCAAGTCTTACGGATGCGCTTCCTGACACAGATGTTCTGTACGTGACAAGAATTCAACGGGAACGATTTGAAAGCCAAGAAGAGTACGAAAAGGTAAGTTGTGTATTTGTTTACTTCAAAAATCATTTTTTTTCTCGAAATGTTCACAACTTGAACGAAAAAAAAGTAATGAAGTGAGACTTAGTGATCGTTTGGATGGCTTACTATCTTAGCTATATAAGCAACAACTAGCCAACTGACTTACATACATATTTTGTTGTGGACTGTCTGTCTCTCCATCTGTCTGACGGAACTGGTAGTTATCCAACTGATTGACGGATGGATCGTTAATATACTGATTGATTTATTGAGCAGCCAACTGATTGGTTTAGTTATTGACTGAATGACAATCATTTGATTGATTGACTGATTGATGGTTGAATGGTTTGATTGTTTCACTCTAGGTATTTGGAAGCTATGTCATCACACCACAGATTCTAACAGAAGCCAAGGAGAAGATGGTTGTTATGCATCCTTTGCCTCGTGTAAATGAAATCAGGTGAGTTACCCACTGCAGTAGCTTGTGCGCCTTGATGAAAGACCTTGAAAATAATTTGCGAGGTAGAAACGAGCATTAACTTCCTTTGTTTGTTTGTTATCAATTACTGGCCAGGGAATTGACAGAGTCTGTGTTTGTACATTTTTGCAGCGTGGAGGTCGATTCTGATCCTAGAGCCGCTTATTTCCGTCAGGCTGAGTACGGCATGTATATCAGAATGGCTCTTCTCGCCTTGGTTTTGGTAAAGAGCTAATGGATTGCTGCTGGTATACTGAGGTCCTCTTTCATTATTACTGAACCTCTTTTCCTCTGAAGTCTCGGTAAAACTGCTTCTATGGCTTCGGAAGCTTGGGAAATTAGCCTTATTTGTTGAAGTTTGTCATCATCAATCCGTTTAATCTTGTCCATCCCAAGTCATCCTTGTTCCTTGAAAGTTTATTATTCTTTATATATCTTTTCTCTCTCTTTCCCTTTTTTTTTTTCTTCTTTTTTTCATCTTCATCGATATTCGTGGTCTTCTTCCAACTGAAGGGTGTTTTGCACGTCGGAAAACGTGACTTGATAAGTAACGCAACGTAACGTAACAACATAAACATGTAACGGTTAGACATTAGCAGACAATAGGTCTTAAATTAAGTATAAAGATAATTTGTTTGGGTAGGCAGACGATAGAGAAGGAAGGATAAACCGAATTAAAATGGTTTATAATGGAAAGCTTGACTAAAAACATGGTTTTAGATCATAAACAAAGGATGGAAAACATGAAAAGAGACTTTTAGTCACAAACGAGATAGATAATGCCTTTAGATATTGTTCCTGTTAGTTACCCATAGTGTTCCAACTACAATAATTCTCCTTCGAATCGGAGCGGTAAAAGTTAGCAGTGTTCGCAAATTTCGACAATATGGAGCCTTCAGAGGTGGAACCTTAAAAAACAGTTTCTCTTTGAAGGCTAAACACACTGATATTTGTAAGTGGCAGATTAGTTTTATTTGTAACAAACTCAACTTTCGTTAAATATTTGACACGATTTGAATAACTTGGATCCGACTATTTTTGGTGCAGAATTTAGACAGCGAGAGAAGAGATTTTGTAAAATCATTGAGCTGCTTAGTTTCAGACTCTTGTAACTTTCGGACTGTACAATCAATGTTAATCATCGTAAAAATGAAGAACATATAGGAAATTTACTATAACCATTTGACAGAATGGCGCAGTTTTTGTTGTTGTTTAATCAATGTTCGTCGGTTGATGGTCATCGAGTGACTGTGGATAGACAGTTAGCCTGAAAGGATGGAGCAATTTTGTGTTCGTAGTAGGAATAATTATTGTCTAAATACCCTATTAGCGTGGGACGTTTAAAGATTGGTCTATGAAGAAAATGTTCAGTTCTCATAGTCAATAAAGCAATTGATTTGTACTCCTCAATTTGTGTTGGATTGTCGTATCTTGGAAAATATTTGACTGTGTAAGGGGGAGGGGGATTCAAAAATTGATAACAAGCTAGTGGCCTTGTTGGCTGACAGTTAGAAATTGAAATCTTTCAGTTATCTTTGCTTCATCCAGTTTAAAATGCTGTCTGTATCGAAAAATATGGAGGTTTATGTATTGTTTTAAAATTTGTGTAATGGGAAATTTGGAAATCTTCGTTAAACACGCAAGCATGTTTTCCTGTAACATTTGAAGATCTTTATTTTCTGCTTCTTTATCACAAGATCCGAAGGTTCCCAAAGGGGCATTTTACGGAAGTAAATCTACAGATATGGATTTACACCCTTGTTTATGAGAATGAACGAGAGGTGATACCATTGCTTATCCAAACCATCCTCTCTCTCTACTTTGTTGAGAAATTATTCTGTTTGGAAGGTTGCCAAGCAATTGGTAATTGCTTCTTTGCGCTTGCATTTTGTTTGTGGGTCCAATCCCTCGAAGAATAACGTCCTGTTCCACGGCTCCGTCTGTTGAAAGCTTCAATAGCTGGAATTGCTGCCAAATGTCTTTCCTGTCTTTTAGGGGAAGAGTAGTGGTTTTGCGGCGTAGAAACCGAGGAATGTTCAGAGCGAGTTCGGTCGTGGAACGGAGATCTTTTTTCACGAGAATATTCAGCTATTCCGTTATTAGCGATTCCTCTGATGTCGTAAAAGTAAGGCGTTTGGTTCACACCCCCATACGTAACCCCAACTATGCCGAAATTTATCCCTGGCTGTGGGGCACCTTCAGCCTTACTCCTTCCTTCACTGGCCGGGGGTTTAAAGTTGTGATCAAAAAAAGTTCTATTAGATCCTGCTGTGAATTCCTTACCAGCCGATCGTCCAGTTTTGTTAAATAGCGAGGCGTCCTCAGTTCCAAGAGGGCGAGTGTTCGAGAGTGAGCGCCTCGATGACAAAGTTCTGGTTATAACTGGTCTCTCAACTCTTTTCACGACGTCTGTTGATGGCAGTAAATGGCTCGTATCGTGTTTAAAGTAATTGTTTAGAAAATGCCTTGAGGCTTCTCCAAAGCAGGCTGCGTTCAAGTTGTGCGTTTTCAAATGATCTTCGTCAAAACGAATCCGTGATGCTGATGCTTTTAGAATTGACTTGTAAGGGGCACGACTTGTCCTAAGTTCCGAACCAATTGCCCTTGAAGTCATCCATGTTTGCGTGTCTGTATGTTCCGAGTTTGCATACGGAGAGTTGTTGGGGAGAGTGGCAAAGTTTACACCTGTGTTCGGCTTGTGGAGTGATGTTCCGTTCGCTAACACGGAGTTCCTTGCTACGACGTCTCGTGTAAATAAAACACCCTCTCGCAAATCCACGGTGTTTTCGCCGCGAGCGGGAATGTTAATCACCCATGCTTCATCTTTGAAAGACACACGCTTTGGTAGCTTTTGCGGTTCAGAAAGACGGCGATTTCTCAAAGTCAAAACCGATCCAGTAGGATCTTTGAAGTTCATAATTACCCCAAAGCTTTCCTCTTTTTTACGTTCGGTGCCAGTAAATATCAGATCGTCAAAGAAAGCTAAAAACCGTTGAGGAGAAATGTATCTTAAGGTGGAATTGATAAGTGTATAGAGAAACTATGGCTTTTGTTTACTCAAGGAAATTCAAAACAAAAGTGCTAATTAAACGACGCATTGAGCATGAATGCTAATGTTTGTTTGAACTAATGGACACAGTCCAACCAATAAAATTATTATATTAATCCAGGAGTACAATCGCGCTGTCGCTCTGTGAGGCGTGACGTCTTCAAATAAATTTCTGGTTGTTATTTTAAACAAAATGACGCGGAGGCTAACAAAGTTATTATTGCGTAACTCTGGATAATTTACAATTTCGAAAAGTGCAAATATTCAATACTTTTTTTTTTATAAATTGTTCTCTTGGGAATCTGATTGATAAGTTTCTTTGACACGAACAAAGATTTTAAAACATCTCGATTTTTTTTCAAACCAAGGTAGTTTATGGAAGAAAATATTCTCTTGGATTCAAATTACACTGCTCCTTGGTTTGAGTATGTTAACTAACGTGCGCTCCAATTTCAGCCATGTGCGCTTGTTTTGTGCAGAATATCTTGAGCAGTGCAATACTAGGGAATCACCCTAAGCCATACCGCATCATTAATTCACACAAACAAATAAACACTTTGAACTTGTTCATGAGGGAGACTTTATTTCCCACTTCAACATAAACTGCATCACTCCGAAAGCAAATACAAAATACACTGGCAAGAAGGCTTTAAAAAAACAAAACCAAGTCAGCTTGGTTAGCACAGGAAAGCAGAATAGAAGATACTGCAGATACAGCTAGACATGAAACAAAAGGTTACGGGGCTGAAGTTTACTTATAGTTGTGTTTTCACAAGGTCAGTTCAAATTTTGCATCACAGTATTGAGGAAAAAAAGCTAAAAATCTTAATCAGGCTTAAAAGGTGCCAAGACATCATCTCTGAGTTCACTTCCCCAGTGGGTCAATTGATCCTAGAAGACAAGCACACAAGAAGTAAATAAATAAGAAATGAACTCAACATTTGAACCCCTAAAACCCTTAAACAGAGGCATGGAGTTTATGCCTCAGAAATGTATTTCTTTTGGGCTGACTCTGCATGCAGCAAAAATTAGTACAATTCTATCCAGGCTGATATCAACTGACCAACAAACCCATATTGCCCATATTTCCTACTTAGAGCGACTTCCTTAATTGCTTTGGCCCTTTTCTTGGCCAGTATTCTGGCATTTTGATCCCACACTTGGTCAATTGTGAAAATGTCATCTTTAATTTTCCTATCACAATGACACACTCTTTCACTATGTATCTTCAGAGAAAACAAAGTTTTGTCACTGTTTATTTTTTTGAAGCACACATGAAAAATTCCTAATGTCCAATTCAGCTTGTCTAGAATGAATGTTCAAATTAACTGTTCTCTCTTAGAAAAAAGTGTTTCAAGTCAAAATTCTATATATCTTTACTTGTGGAATATGAAGACAAAAACTTGACATCTTGAATACTCCAACTTTACTCTTTTCAGTCTATTAAAATAAAAAAGAGAAAATACCCCTGGTACAAAGAAAATATTTAACAATTACAGGAGTAAAACACATTGTAATGAGTCAAGAATTTTCACCCACACTCACACTTGGTTTTGGTCCTTCATGTAACCAAATATATCAAGCAAAAACTGAGGAATTATCAAGTTGGAATATTCCGAAGTGATGTTTCCTGATGCAAATCTTGCATGCGATTCATGAAAGTCTTTTTGTGTTTGAAATTTTTTGTAGTAAGCAGTACCAAATGAGAGACTAAATCTTTTTGTTGATAACACTTGTAGCTTAGAAAAATAACAAGTCTTGCACAATAACTGCTTTTTTTTTCAGAGAGAGCTGTTTGGAAGCTTTTTATGTTGCTGGCTGCAAAAATGTTTAAGGGAAGTTGACATAAGATCTTCTTTTGGCTAAAATATGGTAATATATATTTGTTCAAAGACAAATCAGATATCTGCATCAAAAAGCTTACAATTTTCCTCAAGCTTTGCTTGTAATAAATTCATTGTCCATATTTTAAGTGACAATGCAAAAACAATTTTTCTACGAGACTACATCTACTCTAACAATACTGACAAAAGTACACTACTTCCATGGAACATACTGTAATAACCTATACCTGCCAATGATGTTTGTCAACAAAAAGAAACAATGATTGCGATGGATTGCTAAGGATCAAACCAGTGTGCTCTTTTCTGGTCAAAAGTCGTAGCAACTGTTTCTCGTAGTCATGGTTTTCAAATTCAAACTTTCCCTGGAGATAACAGCCAAACAAACCTAACATCAATTCAGTTGTGCGTGAGGAGAGTAAAAAATGTTGCAAATTACAAATAAATCTACATTAGAAACAGTAATATTCAGGGGGGGTCTTCACTTACATTTGTACTCCCACCCTATCCTTACATTTTGGATATTACAAAACTTCACCTGAATGAGTCTATATTCAGAATTTTCCTCCCCCTTCCATCGTGAAAACAGCAGACATACTATCTTGTCAATGTCATTGCGAGGCCACAAAAAGAAATCAATTTCCTGCACACATCCAATGACATCCTAGGAAATGATCAAAAGATAAATGTTACCCACCTTTGACAAGTATGGTACAAAGGGTTACAAGCTTTTTGTTTATTCCATAATTCTATAAAAAATCCAATCTGTGCAAAGCTTCATTTTTAAGGACAATTTAAGTTTCCGTTGGGACAAATGTGTATCCCACAAATGAATTTAGGAAGTTGGATAGAATGCACCTATTAAAATTAATTAACAAGGCCTAGCTAACACACAGTCTAACTTAGAGTTTCATACTTTTCTTAAACACTGATATCTTGGAGCATGAAGTTGAACAATGTCTTTCTCCAACAGCTGTTGTGAGCTCTCAAGGGAATACACCTCTTCCTTCAAAAGAAAATATATTATCTACTTGTAAAACTCTTACAATTATCTTTGCATTTAAATAGGAAGCTTCAAGCTGGTATTTTCTCTGTCTGCTATGGAGGTTACTAGCTCTTCACTCTTAAACCAGATAGGGGCTGCTGTGTAATTTAAGTTGACCCTTTAACTCTGATGAGTGACTAAGATAGAATTTCTCTATACATTAACAACAGAAAAATTAATAAATGAGAATAAAGAAAAATTTAATTTAGGAGATTATTAGTTTAACTAACATCATAAGAATTGTAAGCAAACAGTTAGGAGAATTACTCATATGGTCTTGGGAGTGGAAGGGTTAAATACAGTACGACGCAGCTCCCAGAGAACAAAAGACCATTCTAATGACTGATCTATCAGACTATAATAATTATATATATGTACAATTTATGTGTGAGAACTTAACTAAACTGTCACTCTTAGAAACCAGGGCAAATGGCAAATTTAACTGTTGTACTCATTTCCTATCCCTCATCAGCACTAGCATAAACAAACGTTTATTTTCACCTTGACACCTTTTAAGATGCTGTCTTCATAGTTATTTGTCATCACTGGGATCACCTCTGCCACTTCAAACAATGCAGACTTCTTCTTCTGCAACAAATAACATTGACTAATTTTAAGAGGACTAGTGCTTTCACATGTGCATTTCTTTCAGTGGGTGGGTACTTGCATCAACAGCCCCGGTTGTTTGAAGATCGGATAATGCTATCCACTGGATAAATCTCTATCCAGTTGATAACGCTATACATTTTGCTATCACTTATCTGCTGGATAGTGATTTATCTGTCGGATAGAATTGTCCACTGTTTACACAACTGGACCCAGGATGGTAAAGAGTCCAACTACTGTAGCTAATAAGTTGGTAAAAACACTAGGAAGTTAAGAGCAATCAAACAATATGAAAACAAAATCCTAGCGATTTAAAGTTGACTCCTTGTGTATCGAATTGTCCATAAACACTTTGGTTTTGGGGGAGTTGAGGTTTTGGAAGATGGGAAGAAAAACAAAAGGCGTGTTTTACTTACAGCTGTAAAGATAATTATTGCTTTATCATTCTAACTATGCAGAAAGTGTTCCACTACATCAATGTTTAGATAAAAACCATGAGGTGATCAACAGTTCTGAAGGGAATACAGCAATATGTGCTGATAAACCCCTTCCAGTAATTAAAGGTACAATTTTGAGGAAAGTGACCTCAAGAGAAATATTACTTTAAAATGGGCAGGTATTGTTTTGAGTGGTGGAGGGTGAGAGTTCTTGACTCCTGGCTCTGAGGAGCAATCAACAGGAGTAGAAAGGATATACATTTGAGCCCTATTAAATCCTGACTTTTTATTCCTTTATTTATTCTGAGGTTCACTTTTTTATGTCAATTTAAAGTGAGAATCACTCATACTGAATATAGACTTATCACATTTGTAATCAAAATACTCACATCTGTATACTATAGCAATAACAATTCTAGTATGATCGTTTCATAAATCATAAAAAAATTACACTATTCATTTTGATTAGTGTTTTGTGCTCCAATGTTTTCGTTAGATCAAATTTTATTTAACATTATTACAGACTAATTTTCAAACTTTGTGATAACCAACAACATTCGAACTTGCAATCTCAATAGAAGATAACTATTAAACCACAAAACAGTACGAATAACTTAATGTATATGAAGAGTGTAATAGAAACCTTTTTTACGACGTTGAAATTGCGTGAATTGTTAATAAAATCCACTTATTTATTACTATATCTGCCACTTAATAATTTGCTTACCTTATCTTTAAAAACCACTGCAAAGTACATTTTGAAGTCAAATTGCTCGGCCAAAGATTCCCGTTTTCGTCGCAGTTGCGATCGCAACCGGTTGAGCGTTGCTGATTTCCTGGAGGCAGGGTCAGCCATTCGAGAACAAGGATTGTATAACCAAGAGAAACTTACGGTTGTGGCCGAAAAAAAAACTATAAACTTCTGTCGGCTGACAGTGTAGGTTAGCTAGCTGTAGGAAGCACAGTTGGTAGTTGACTGGCTATATTCCTAAGAAAAACTGCGACAATTTAGCCTTAGATGTTTCGGAGCTATTTTATACTGTCTTGAGTTTTCATTTTCGGCATTTTGATGGTCCTCACAGCGCCTCGATGTCCTAATATTCATGAAAAGTTCTGTTCTATCTGCCGTCTGTCCTGTCTTCTCACGGCGAAAAATATGGCATCCCGTGACGTCGAGGCCTCGTTTTGAGTTTGCTATTCGACACCCTTTTTTAAATTTGGCTCCGTCACGCAACATATACAGCCGTTCCTAATGGCGTTCGAACTTTATAGCGTGATATTTGCTGTTCTTTTCGCCTGTGGTTGTCTAGTTCTTCTGCTGGTGGTGCAAGCCGTTTTAGTTTCCATGAGACTGAAGCCAAAGAAGAATCAGAGCCCACGGCATGGAAAGGTTGTCCTTCATCAAATGCCTCCAAATTCCCGAGTTTTAAATGTTTCTCCATCTTGTCTAAAGCTAGAGACCTATTTACGAATGAACAAAATCCCCTATGAAAGCGACTACAGCTTTAGAATGTCGAGCAAAGGCAAAGTGCCATGGATTGAATATAATGGAACGTCCGTTGCGGATTCAAACTTTATTGTCCGTTTTCTCAACGAAGAATTTCAATTGGACCCCGATGCCCATCTGAGTGTCGAGGAAAAAGCCATCGCGCATACCATGCTCGTAACACTTGAGGAGAATACGTATTGGTACGACCTCTAATAATACATAATACACTTATCTGTTTTTACTTTAAACTGTTTGTAACAAAAAAAACATCCTCCAGGTCTACAGCTTTTGTATCCTTGAGGGTGTGGCACTGCGGTGTTGGGGGGGGGGGGGGGGGGGAGGAGAGAGAGAGAGAGAGAGAGAGAGAGAGAGAGAGAGAGGGTTAGTGATTCCATGTTTGATTTTCTTTTTAGATACACAGTTGCTTTTCAATAGGGGTGGAGTTTGCACCTTGTCAAAAGCACAATCAAGGTGGGAAGAGGGAATGCATTCCATTATTTTTCTCAAACAGGAACTTGCACAGAATTAGGCTGTAGAACAAGCCTAATTTTTTCGGAAATTGTTAGGTGAAAAGAGAGGCAAGTGCAAAGCACGAGTCATGTGCAAGGGTAGGAGAGCAATAAAACTTTTTTAAAAGAAAATAGGTCATGTATTTCAGGGTTTTTTCCTCTCATACAAGTGTCTAAAAATGTCTTTTTGCTGCAAATTAGGTGATGTCTACACTTGGGCAGGAGCCCATTATTCGGAACTTCCATCCTTCATACTTACCCTCTGAGTCAACCCTGTCCTGTATCTTTTTGTTTTTAGAAGCACCTTTGGGGGTGTTTACATAAAAGCCAATCATATGAGAGCTGTGGTCCTCTATTGTTTACGTCACATGCAGGCCACATGTTTTTGTGGGAAATTATAGAACTCCCTATATATCTCAGTTCTAAAAATAAAAGAATATGGGACAGGGTTGACTTGAGGGTACAATTGGTATGGAGGCTCCAGGTAATGGGCTCCTGACTCCAGCTGTGTAGACAAGTTACATGGACTGAACAAGATTAATTACATTCACTCCACATGTTTTCCAAGGGTTATGATCAGATCTTTTTCAAATTTACAGCAATTGAAATGAACAAAACTTCAGCAAACCATTTGTAAAACTTAAGCAAAATCCAGTTTAAACCTTCCTTTCCTAACAGAATTCCAGTTTGGCTTCAGCAAGGCTCCCCTCCCTCCTCTCCCTCACTGCCTCCAAGAGCTTGCACAGTTTTCTGTTTGTCAAGGATCTCATCCATACACAAAACCACTTCCCTACAGCACTGTAATAGTTCTCCTTTGTCTTATGTAATTTTCCATTTAATCTTGTAACAGGACTCTGATATATCATAGCTTTGTGGCTGATCTGGCAGATACAAGGTCGATGTCACCTCTATTGGGAGTAACACCAATTCCTCTAAATTATGTTGTGTCATGGTTAGCATCTCATTATCTGCGTCAGAACCTCTGGGGTCACGGAATTGGGCGGCACTCTAGAGAGGAAATTTACAGCATTGCAGAGAGGGACCTAAGGGCTGTATCACAAGTGCTAGGAACAAAGAGGTTTATCATGGGAAGCAAGCCATGCCTTTTAGATGCTGCAATATTTGGATTGGTTGCAGTATTCCTTTGGAATGTTCCACACAGCCCACAGGCAAAACTTATCAGGTCACAATTGAAGAACTTGGAAGCACATTGTTATACCATCAAGGAGGAGTATTTCCCAGACTGGGATGAATTAATATTGAAAAACACAAACTCTCTTGATTATTAACCCTGGTTTAATGTCCTTCAAATCACCACTTTTGTTAACAATATTGACCTTCATTATCAATACTCTTCCTATCAGTACAAGTAAATTACTAAACTTTGATGTAACAGTTTTTTTCTTGTGATCTTAAAACCACTTCCAATTTTTTTGTGCCGATTCAAGGGTAGCATTCAGTAAAAAATTAATGCAACAAAGAAATATTCTCTTTGGTATAATGGTATATTTTCTAACTGTATGAAAATTTGACAGAGAGTAACAAGAGACCCCCCTTGAATTTTCAGCATTCCTCTCTTCTAACACCTTTCAGCTGCATTACCAGTGTTGTCTTGACTCAACTTTGAGCTCACTGATGATCTGAGTCTACTGGCTCAAGCACAGGAGTGTATGCCTCTTCTATGTCTGAATCTAAGTATTCATAAGGATTTGCATCTAGTTTTCTCAAGATATCCAACTATACACAATTTATGCAAAAAAATTAAATAAAATTGTGAAGTTGAATGAGGTTCAGGTCACTGCTCCAATTTCAACTGTTTTGCACTGATAATCAGCTGTTGTTTAATGAGCGTAAAGACTTCCATTGAAAACACCATATCTTATCATTTCTCTGAATTGTAGCTTGTACCAATATGAAATCTCAACACAAGGCATATTTCAGGGAAGAGGCCCCTGGTATGTGAATACTAAAACTCATGTCAGGGAGACTTGAATAACTGCAAACCAGTAAGGTTGAGCTTGCCTATGAAAAAGGATTACTGTTTTTTCCAAAGTGGCCTAATGATTGTAAATCCTCCAGTGCTGGTGAACCAAACTAAGTTGGTTTAATTGTGTCAAAAGGACCTCCACAACAAGGCCAATTTCCGCAATGCCACTGGCCACTTTTATAAACAGGCTTTGGTACTGGTAAATCATTTTCTGGGCAATCTGCCACAGAATTACATTCACTCCAATTACAAGCAACTTTTCGACCTTGATATTCATATTTTGCCTTCAATACCACATAACCACGACTCTTTCCTGTAACACTATCCAGTGGTAACATGGACTGGAAGAGCACTTCCATAGGAACCCAATAGGGCGGATATTTGAACCGGGCTGTGTCAAACATCAATACAGAGTTTGATTCTTTGTCCATTGCAGCAACAGGACTGAAATGACCGTCGCCTGTTTGTCCCAAAGTCTTCCTCGAGTAAGAAATTGCCATGAACTCCTCTGGATTTTCCTCATCAAACGTTTCTCCTTTAACCTCCTTGCCACCAGTGCAGACTCGCTCTAGAATCTGAATAAATTTCTTGTATTGTTCGTTCGAGTCGTTCGGTCGAACAAGGGTGGCGTCTGCTCCATTGCAGTGTGCTAAACAAACAAATTCTTCCAAAGTGATACCTGATACTTTCACGTCTTCTAGCGGACGACAACAATCTAAGAGTTCCTCGGTAAACCATCGCCAAACAGTTCTCCAGATACGTTGAGGATCTATTCGCAGGGCATTTAAGATAATCGCTAAAGTACTAACCCCGCAATAAGCTGGTTCAGCTTGAGTATTAAAGCACGAAGACAAAGATAGGTAAGGAACAGCATGACCAGTTTGCAGAGCACGGCAGAGGCGAGTCTTGGACTCCGTAGATCGGTAGTCAACCAGATTTTGAGGGAGAGAACGCCCATAAAATGTTCTAGGAGTGTTAGAAGACATTGCATCCAGTGAATGATCCCTGTTTCCCCAAATTTTTCTCCTACTCGCTTGGTAAATGTTTGATGACCACCCAGGTGTTTTTCTGAAGCGTAACAAGTACATTCCCAGACACATTCCCAGTACTTACCGAGTCTTGGCCGGCTCGACTTGAATCCGGTCTTGTGGTATAACAATCATATAGTGTCAGACAAAAAAATTTAACTCAGTTGAACCCTAACAAAAATTATAAAATAATTCAAATAGTACGCGCGCTCTGATTAGCCATAAAACCATTTTACATGAGCGTATGTAAACATTGTTTTCGTTCCTCTTTCATTGGTTATTTTATAAAAGAAATGTGAAATGGTTTCCGTGTTTACATAGCCTGATGTAAACACGCGGGAGGTTGGGAGAACACGAGATAAGCGTAGGAAACCACGACGCGAAGCGGAGTGGTTTCCAGCTTCTCAAGTGTTCTCCCAACCTCCCGCGTGTTTACAACAGGCTATGTAAACACGGAAACCATTTTACATTTCTTCAATCAAGAACACACTTACAAAAAATCCAACTCGCCACTAGAAACAAACAGAATTAAGTTATTCAAATTCTGTCCTCATTAGGAACCTGTCATTGAATTATTATAAAGAATATTAATGCTTATTGTTGAGACACAGCGGGATAGATCAGCCGCGTCTCATACTTGCTGGTGGCCGAGATTTTGTATTTTGGTGTTGAAGATTTTTGCAATTTGACGGCAACAGAAGACCACATTGAGACCATCAAATCAAATGGCAAAGTGGGCTTCATTAAGTTCGAAAGAATCATGGTTGAAAAAGCTTTCCCGTCATTTTTACAGAAGGCGCTCGATGTCGACTCTTTCATCTAAAACGGTTTACGGATCTCCGTTGTCTCGTTTTCTCGTTGACTACCGATCTAAGGAATCCGAAACTCGCCTCTGCCGTGCTCTGCGAACTGGTTATGCTGTTCCTTACCTATCCTTATCTTCGTGCTATGATGCTCAATCTGAACCTTCTTATTGCGGGGTTAGTACTTTAGCAATCATCCTAAATGCCTTACGAATAGATCCTCAGCGTCAGTGGAGTCCTATGTCAACCTGGCGATGGTACACCGTGGAACTTCTGGATTGCTGTTATTCACTTGAAGAAGTGAAAAAATTTGGAATTAATTTGGATGAATTTGTGTATTTGGCAAATTGCAATGGAGCAGTAGCGAGCGTTGTTCGACCAAATTACTCGAAAGAACATTATGATGAGTTTACTCATACTTTAGAGCGAGTTTGTACTGGTGGTAAGCAGTCTAAAGAGGAACTACTCGATGGAGAACTTCCAGAGGAGCTTATGGCAATTTCTTTTTCGAGAGTAGCTCTAGGGCAAGTTGGAGAAGGCCACTTTAGTCCAATTGCCGCAATGGACAAAGAATCAAACTCTGTGTTGATATTTGAAACGGCAAGATACAAATACCCACCATATTGGGCTCCTATTGAAGTGCTTTTCCAATCCATGTTACCATTGGATAGTGTCACTGGAAAAAGTCGAGGTTATGTGGTATTGAAGGCAAAACAAGAATGGAATTATGAAAGTGACTTTGTAAATCATGGCAAAAGACGAATTCAGTTTTTTGAAATAAAAAACACAGTCGTGAGCATGAGTATTAACAAAGTCTGCAGCTAATGCAAATTCGTCTTCGTTAAATTTTAATTCCCTTTCTTTTACAACCTGTTTATTAAGCAATATGAATCATATTGTAGAAATGTCTCAGTGTTTGTTAGAAATATTCTTCTCTGTAGAAGCTGCCAAAAAGCAATTTAAGAATGGCAAGGAGACCATTTTCCATCCGACTCAGTAGAGACCTCATTAACAACGAACTTTTATTGTTGCCGCTCTCTTCTATTCACGAAGTTACTCAATTGTTTTTTCGTCCGGTTTTATGTCTGAAGGTGACAATAAGACGGCACTTTTAATAATAGTACTTTAAACGACATGAGATTTTTTGCTGGAAATAAAAACATCATTACCGTTATCTTCGCCCGTACATGCAGCAGTTGGATAGGGAAAGATTATAAATAAAAACGGAAGAATTTAGGATCGTGTTGTGCAGTGAACATTACTCGATTCGACCCAAACCTCCCTTGTGTTTTCGCACCTTTGCGCCCACCGCACCGTTTAATATCGCATCATATTGCCCTCCGTTTTATAAACTGAACGCCTGGAAACGCGTCAGAGTGGACTCTCTATGACAAAGGGCTAACGCGAGAAACATCAGCTTAAGATTATTTACAGTGGCCAAATCACATATCAACTCGGTTGACAAAACCAAATCATGCTGTTATACACCCAACCCTAATTTGCATGACTTTTTCGGCAGGCAAAGCTCGTTATGGGGCTTCGCTCCATTTCGTTCTTTAAGTGGCGTGAACAGGCGTCTAATACAGCCTGGCTTTGATGACGGTTAACAGTAAAGGTACTGTATTTTTCACAATTTGCGGTCATAAGTTTGGCCTTTTGAATTGAAAGGTGACGGAAAACGCCATTGAGATCATCAAATCAGTCGAAACAATGGGCTTAAATTAAGTTCTAAAGAATCAAAGTTTAAAAAGCTTTCGTGTGATTGTTACAGAAGGCGCTCGATGTTGACTTCTTCATCTAAAACGGTTTACAGATCTCCGTTGCCTCATTTTCTTGTTGACTATCGATCTAAGGAATCCAAAACCCGCCTCTGCCGTGCTCTGCCAACTGGTTATGCTGTTCCTTACCTATCCTTGTCTTCGTGCTATAATACTCAAACCGTTCCAACTCATAGCGGGGTTAGTACTTTAGCAATCATCCTAAATGCCTTGCGAATAGATCCTCAGCGTAAGTGGAGTCCTTTGTCAAGTTGGCGATGGTATACTGCGAAACTTTTATTTTGCTGTGGTGCATTGGAAGTCGTGAGGGAAAATGGAACAATAACTTTGGATGAATTTGTAAGTTTGGCAAATTGCAATGGAGCAGTAGCGAGCGTTGTTCGACCAAATTACTCGAAAGAACATTATGATGAGTTTACTCATACTTTAGAGCGAGTTTGTACTGGTGGTAAGCAGTCTAAAGAGGAACTACTCGATGGAGAACTTCCAGAGGAGCTTATGGCAATTTCTTTTTCGAGAGTAGCTCTAGGGCAGGTTGGAGAAGGCCACTTTAGTCCAATTGCCGCAATGGACAAAGAATCAAACTCTGTGTTGATATTTGAAACGGCGAAATACAAATACCCACCATATTGGGCTCCTATTGAAGTTCTTTTCCAATCCATGTTACCATTGGATAGTGTCACTGGAAAAAGTCGAGGTTATGTGGTATTGAAGGCAAAACATGAATGGAAATTAAAAGGCCCTTCGTAAATCATGCGAAAAACGGATGCGAGTAATATGAAACACCGGCAGCCCATGCTCCAGCTGTCAGATGATCATTTTGCAAACTAAGAGTCATGGTGAAAATTTAAGAGTTTGTAAGGGAATACTTACGACCGCTTCCAGGAAGTAAAAAATACAGTCAAATTCTCAATAAAAATACCTCGCCTTACTTTCATAGTGTATTACCTGTTTTGTGACCGCTTACTATGTTGTAACGAGGCATTTTAGCGAGTTATCCATCTCTAGGTTTAGTACTCCTTCTCCTCGCAGTACATCATCCTTAAAGAATTTCAGTTCATTTTGAGTGAAAAAGTTCGTACATTTTTAATATCTTTACAAAAAAAATGTCATCTCTTTTATCAAGGGGTTACTCAACATACCAATTTTCCCCATTTGATTCACATGGTATTTTTTTGTACTTCGAATGCGAATACAGCAAGTAAGTTCTCCATCCCGCATTTTAGGTCTGGTGAGACTATATTATAGCCAGGTTCAAAGCAGGAGAAAACTCCGTAAATATTCCCAAGAATGTTTTCATCCCGATAATTAATCATTTATGTTTTTTTCTTGAAGGGAGTCATTGACAATTATTGATATCCCTGCTTTTTTTTCGATTTAAAAATATTCGTTTGGAAGGATTCGCGCGCGCTATTCGAACTTGTGCGCGAGGGGAGCGCGGGCTCATACTTTGCAGACCTCTCGTATCGCGCTCCAACTGAAAACTCGCGCGCTTCATCGCTCGCGACGCGCAACGCCAATGAGAAACTGCTCGCAAACCATCCCTGGACGCTCAACAATTCAAAACTAAAACTTTGCTTCTGATAGATGCCAAACTTCTTAATCGTGAAAAAACGTAATATGAGAACATCACAAATTTTTTGTGCAAGACATCCTAAATCATTCTATGTTTCATGGAATAAAGTTTTAATGTTCAACTTTAAACAAACGGTATATGTGACATTTCTTTTTAGTATTCGTCTCCTTCATCTTCCCCTTCGTCATCAATCGAATCCACTCCAACCTCTTCATAATCCTTTTCCAATGCTGCCAAATCTTCACGAGCCTCAGAGAACTCTCCTTCTTCCATACCCTCACCCACATACCAGTGGACAAACGCACGCTTTGCATACATCAGATCAAACTTGTGATCCAGTCGGGCCCAGGCCTCAGCAATAGCTGTGGTGTTACTCAACATACACACAGCGCGTTGTACTTTGGCCAAGTCACCACCAGGAACAACTGTGGGAGGCTGGTAGTTGATTCCAACCTATGATAAGAAAAAAATTCTGCCAATTGAACAGACGCGGCGCAGCAGTTTGTGATTCATTTCTATACGCATTAAATACAAAAGCATGTCTGCTCACAGGCTAACTGGTACGCGCCGTGGGAGCCTTACCCGATTTCTGCTGCACGGAACGACTTAGAGTGCAGTTGCTCTCCCTTGAAGGGGATTTTTTCCCATTACAAGTTACCCTAGTAGTCCGTAATGTTTCCCAGACAGATAACTTGAATTAAAATACCTCAGCGGTGAGAGGTTCTTAGAGAATAAGGTATCTTGCCCTATAATATAACGCCCTTAACTTTTAATCCGTAGTCTAGCTCGACAACCATCAGGCACCACCGATTTTTTATACATTATTTCCTGGTAAATTGACCGGAAACAAACCTTGAATCCAGTGGGACACCAGTCAACAAACTGAATGGTTCTCTTGGTCTTGATTGTTGCAATGGCTGCATTCACATCCTTAGGTACCACATCACCACGGTATAGCAAACAGCAGGCCATGTACTTGCCGTGACGTGGGTCACACTTAACCATCTGATTGGCTGGTTCAAAGCACATGTTTGTAATCTCAGCAACTGTCAACTGCTCATGATAGGCTTTCTCTGCTGAGATCACCGGAGCATAAGTGGCCAGAGGGAAGTGAATACGAGGGTATGGCACCAAGTTGGTCTAAATAAGACAACAAGACAGAAATTGAAATGATTTTATATCACCACCGAATCAATATGACAAGAAATGCTGAGATTCAGAGACAGTTTACCTGAAACTCTGTCAAGTCAACATTCAAGGCACCATCAAAACGGAGCGATGCAGTGATGGACGACACAATCTGACCAATCAGTCTGTTCAGGTTGGTGTAAGTGGGTCTCTCAATGTCCAGGTTACGACGGCAGATGTCATAGATGGCCTCATTGTCCACCATAAAGGCACAGTCAGAGTGCTCCAGAGTGGTGTGAGTTGTCAGAATGGAGTTGTAAGGCTCCACAACAGCTGTGGCAATCTGTGGTGCGGGGTAAATAGAGAATTCCAGCTTGGATTTCTTGCCATAGTCCACAGACAGACGCTCCAAGAGCAGTGAAGTGAATCCAGAACCAGTACCACCACCAAAAGAATGGAAGATAAGGAAACCTTGCAAGCCAGTGCACTGATCAGCCTTAGAGAGGAACGATTAAGGAAGAGTCTGTTATGTAGCAATCAGAAAGTTGCTTTCGAGGAATTTAATTTTAATTCTATTTTTCTGTGCAGCTTACCAGTTTTCTAATCCTGTCCAGAACTGCATCAATCATCTCCTTTCCGACAGTATAGTGTCCGCGAGCATAGTTGTTAGCGGCGTCTTCTTTTCCAGTAATTAACTGTTCAGGGTGAAACAGCTGTCTGTAGGTGCCAGTACGTACTTCATCTGAAACAGCCAGTCAACAACAACTTAATTAAATTAGTTCTAAGAAAGTTCTTGCAGCCACGAGCTATAATTACTCTGAAATTATCCTCGTTATTATCGAGAATTTCGATCCTGAGAAATCTGCAAAACAAGGCTGACAGTCAAGCTTTCGAGCTTTCTTACGAGTCAATACTTTTTGATAGAGAGGGAGGGGTGGAGCAGGGTCACAGGTCCTCTTGGAACTTTCTCTCTTAACCAAGTCCTTTTCTCTCGCTTTGTATTCATTTGGACAACGTCCTTAGCGTATTTTTTAAAATTTATTTTAAAATTTTGCTTATTGTTCTTGTCCATCAAAAGTATATCCGGAAAAGTCTTATTAACACTTTCGAAAGCGAAGGTTTAACATCGCTTATTATCATTCAGCTGCCAATTTACCAAACGAAAAAGGATTCGTTTCCCATAAAGAGGCACCAGAGACAAATACAACGCTCAAGACTCTTCATTTTCCAATTTTTCCGTACTCTCTTGTTAAGAACTGATATCGGAGAGGCTCGTCTTGGATGACGATTCATCGAACGCTAATGCATGCAAATATATTTCCTCTCCCACGTAAATAAAGATAGGAAATTAGCAATATTATTTTCGTGAGAAAGTCCTGGCGGCCATAAATTATCTATGACAAGGGTCCAATATGCAGAAAGTGAAACAATGGTTGAACAAATAAAGACGGGGAATTAATTTCGAACCCTTTAATTAATTTCCATTGGGGGGAAACTAAGTGTCCCGTAGGTAGAAACAGTTTTGAATGCATGAAATAGTTTGAAAAGTTCATTGTCTGATACTTTTGCCACTAATATTCGCACACATTCTTTTTTTGTTTTTTGTTTTCTGACTAAAGCGTTGAGGCTGACATTGACCCAGTTTTCAGAAACATGCAGAGACGTCACCCAGTCTGAGACAACTGATGGGGTAAAACATTAAGTGTAACAGCTTGAACCTGTAGAGAGTATCATTTACTTTGTCTTTTTAAAACAAAGCGCTGCGGGGGCGTTTCTGGCTCAAAACATCACGATAAAGGAATAAAATTTAGAAAAGCATTCATTGTTTAAGCCTTGACTGCAAAATTAGACTATCCGACTCAAACAGTTTATTCTGACTCGGTTGCCGAGAACCGCTGGAGAATGTCTTCTTTTCGGCTAGATTAGTACCCGGTAGCCACAGCCAACCTCCTGACCATAAATTCTTCCATGTAGCACCGACACAAAACTAAACCGTTTTGCCAAACCACGGAAATTAATGTAGACTTTGACACCCTTGCCTCACTGATACGACACAATTTTACAGATGCACCATCTTGCAGGTGGGCGAGTTTTTCCTAACCGGAAGTTGACGGTGAAAGCGACTTTATTCGCTGGCAAAGCAATAATAATTACCGCTCCTCGATATTGCCATTATGGCTGGAAGTAAAAACAGCAAACGCGCTATTTCTTTCACGATTTATCTGATTTTATATTGATATTAATATTTCACTTAAGACAGTAATGTTCAAGTAAAAATTCAATTTAACACAAGGAGGTTGTCATCTGTTTATCGAATTTTGTTTTAATTTCAATAACACATTATGTCTTTAATGGTTTTAGTAATAAAACATGGACGCGAGTTGCAGTTTCGAAATTAGCAGGCAATCACCATTTCGTGCGCTGTAATATTAGTGCCACGTTAACAAAGATGAATATGGAAATGATCGATCCAAGCATATTTTCGAATTTATTCAACATTCACATCACCAGAACAAATATTTTCCTATCTGAAGGGGGCATACACTTGGTGAAGTTTAGCAATTCATTTTAGACTCCAAATTTTTCTTTAAGCAGAATGTCGAAAATAAAACACAGGACTGTTCTCCTTTCACTCACCGACGACAGTTGGTTCCAAATCAACAAAGACGGCGCGAGGAACGTGTTTTCCTGCTCCAGTCTCGCTGAAAAATGTGTTGAAGGAATCATCTCCTCCACCGATTGTCTTGTCACTGGGCATTTGACCATCAGGCTGGATTCCATGCTCCAAGCAGTACAACTCCCAACAAGCATTACCGATCTGGCAACCAGCTTGACCGACATGGATAGAAATACACTCTCGCTAGCGGAGGACGTAACCAAAACTATATTATCATTTTGTAAGAATTGTCAAAGTTCTTAAAACAGCTTTGTGTCCTTTGTATCCTAGAGGTGAAACTTTTTAACTTACCATTTCGGACGGTATAGAATTTAATGGCAGAGAAGAAAGAAAAACGGAAGCTGGAAATAAATGATCCCTCCTTCGACA